ATGGGGAGAAGTTAATTTGAAGTTACATTTATGTCCAAAAGCAAAACAAGGGGCCATCTCAGTATTTGCTGGAGGATCAGAGAAAGTGGATGAAAACCTTATCGAGATGGGGGTCATTGACCCAGAAGCTGAAGTACAATCCGTGTTACAGGTTCTTTACAATTATACAATCCAAATGATATATAATACATAAATGTCATTGTTAAAATTAATATTGCTTTCCTTTTGGATGCTCGGTATTGCGCTAATTGTATTGAAACAGTTGTGCAGCAGAAGATTTTACTTGGGAGTTAAACATTTGAATCGAATTTGATCGTATGTCATCTGGCAAAGTGTTGTAAAATAATGTACACGTAATATAAGAGATTGTTTTGTAGTGAGCTGTTGATAGTGTTACCTAATGAATATGATTACTACGTTGAGTGTTGTGGTTATAGACAACGGAGTTTGCTGAAAATATATTCCCGCTAGTAGGTCATTTTTGACAAAAAACACTGATTCATATATTAAGAGACAAGGTAATGGTAAAATACCTAGATTAATAGAGAGGCTTACAAGAACCACGTGGGTGGAATTTGCTTATTATTCGTACAATTCTGTTTTGTAATATAAAAGTCTGGGAGCTATAAGATGTATTTCCTCAGAATATTATGCCATATCTCAGGCAGGATATGTCCAGAGAGAATATTATATCATATCTGAATTTGACAAGAGTCGAATTTGCTTCGTTCAGAGTTGCACCCCATAACAGTGAACGAAAACGTTGAGTGGTGAAAGAAGTCGCACGCTTCTACTTGCACGAGCAGCCATTTCCCCACTTTCCGTGAATTATCTTGATTGCACACGCAAATAAAACTCAACAAAAACCAATGACCTGTTTCCATAAGAAAGTTCGGTGAACTTCGCGCACAACCTGTTATTAAGAGCGGAATTACAGAGCGCTGGATTGTTCCTCGAAAAAACGAAAGTACTGAAACCTACGTTTGCATGACAGAGACAAAAAATATTGAGACAAGCGGAATAAAACAAGCTGTTCGTGGTACAATAATTCGAAGGCGGTTATAACTAGGGGCGGACTTCAATGATACATCATTTTGTTCTTTTCACTTCAAAACAATTGCTATTAAGTACAGAAATTAATTTTATGTTTAACAAAAGAAAATGTCCCATTTTATAGGTCCTTTTTGTATTTCTCGACAATTTTGACTAAGAAGTCATTTTTTAGCTTTTTTGAAATATTTAATGCATTTTTTGCTGAATTGATCGATTTTAATATATTTTTAATTGTATTTGCTTCAAATAATATGTACGAGAGGCAAAAAATGTTCTCCACAGAATTCCTGAGTAGCCTATTCTATTTCTGTAATGTCAGCTGTTGTATATTATCTAAAGTCCCTATGACGCCTGTCAGCGTCATTGTCGGCTTATTTCGGGATAACTAAAGACAGATATGTCTTGGATACAGAACAGTACAAACCAAACGTTTGCATGCTGAGTTCACTTGAACTAAAGAAGAAACCTTGATTACATCAGTAATATATCCACCAGTTTCAGTTGTTCATCTGAACAGGTTTTGCTAAATTTTTTACGCCATTTTTCTTTGCTTTTATGGCATTTTAAAAACGTTTTAAGAGCATTTTTCAACCATCATAGCGATGTTTTAGATCGTCAAAATCCGCCCCTAATTATAACCCATAAAATTGTCGTGTCAAAATATTAGTGAGTAGTGCACAAAAGCGCGCTCTAGCTGAATGAGGTTTGCAGGCGCACTGTAAACCGTACTGTTCCTAAATCTCAGCGGTCTCGAGACGCGAGCGGAGTTTAGGAGATGCGTGCGCACGAAAAATTAACAAGAATTTGATCGTTTGCGCTCTTCTGCAAACATCACTGTCGGGGTCGAAAGAGCTGAAAGCTTTACACAAACACTCAATAAAAAGTCGTTGATATAATAATAATAATAATAATAATAATAATAATAATAATAATAATAATAATATAATAATAATAATAATAATAATAATAATAATAATAATAATAATAATAATAATAATAATAATAATAATAATTCATCCATTTATTTAAAATAATCCATCTATCCATTTACTTAAAATAACCTGTTACTGAATTTGAGAATCAATGGAACCAATAAAGGTGGTTCCTTTAGTTTCAAACCTGCAACCGCGACAGAAACGGCTCCTGTAAAAATAATGGTTACTGAACATAAATGTATTCACTGTAAAATTAAAACATTACATTAGCCCAGTTGCAAACCTTTAAGATTATTTTGATCCCCCTTCACCAGCGACATTATTGAATATATATTTTTTTATTAATAAAATATTACAAAAATTTATTTCAGTGATGTCGTGTACCCAGGGTTGGATTTACTCGCAAAGCGAAACAAGAAATTGCTTGGGGGCTTCCATTTATGAGGGTCCCACGCTTCGGAAAAATATGCATAACATATTTTCTAACATAAAATGTATTAAATGTAATAAATGTACAATTTTATATAAAAATGATTAATTTTCATTTGAATTTGTACAGAAAGTACTTGTATTAAGATAATTTTATTCACTGAAGATGGCCCTATTTTTACGGGGTGATGAAATACAATTTTCTGCTTGAGGGTCCCTCAATACTTAAATCCGGCCCTGCATGTACCTGTGAACGAATTTAAAATATTAGTAGTTTTCTCGCTATTTCGTATGAAATAGAGGTAATTTTAAAAGACATTTAAAACACATAACGTTAAAAAACATTTTCTCCAAAACAGCTTTTTTTTAAGAAATAACTAATAGTGTTACAGATAGCACAGACTTTTTCGTATTAGTTTTCTATTTTCTAGCTATACGAATGTGCCACTGCCATTTGTAGTCGCTCAAAGAACTTCTTTTTTTTTTTGCTTCCTAGTAGCAGAATCGAATTACTACTTTACAAATATTAAAGGACAGTAAAAACTCGTCCTAAATGGCAATTTTCATTCAAAAATTTGGATCCATATTTAAGAAAATGGCACATAAGTGCTACTGAATTCGAAATTCGAACCTCTTTTCATAGAAAACTATTAGGTTTTCGAAAAACTTCATATGACGTCATTTCAAGCACTTTGTCTCAAATGCAATAGCGTTTACAAATCGTTGGAAATGTGCATATTAAAGACGCGATAGATCCTTCAAGAAAATTACATTTGCGTAATTTTTTAAAACCAAAAAAATCCAACAAAATGAACTTTGCCATTTTAACACTCCAATTGGCATTATCAGTTCAAAAAGAAATAAGAAAAAATTTGGAGCCATTTATGAGAAAATGGTGTTTGATCGTTTCTGAAAATTTGGAATTTTGAGCTTATTTTCACGGATAACTGTTGTTTTCGAGAAACTTTCTCACATTATTTAAAGCATATGTACTCATGAAAAATTACATATTTGTAATTTAAAAAAAATAGAGCAGTACAGCGTTTATGTCATCTTATAGAGTGCGTTTAACACAATTCCTACCAATAGTTTTAAGAAAAAATGTGGAGCACTTTTTGAGGAAAACTTTCGACTGGAGTCAGATGGACAGGAGTTTCTTCAATTTGGAAAAGGTCCTACTCATGATTTAGGCGCCAGTGGTGTTGACGGACAGGGCGGGCGGACAGGGCGGGCGGGCGAAGACGCGTTTTGAAAAGAACCGCTTTTCGGTATTAGGAGACCCCCAAAGCGTGTATTTCCGGCGAAATAGATTTTCCGCAGCATTACATAACGTTCCCTATATTATGTATATTAATCCGTATATACGTACGTATGGGGGAAAGTAAAAATGGCATTGTCCAGATTTTTATTACAACCTCTAAAATTTTGAATATGGCAAAAGTTCATTTTTTTTACGAACCCGTCTTAACCATTAAATATTGAAGCTAGATATTTGTTAATTAATACTGACTATTCCTCAATATTAGTTACTGAAATCATTTCAAGATCATTTTTTGGAAATTTTTGTAGTTTGAGTAATTATAGATCGAAGGAATTTTGTTGTAATTTACAAACTACGTAAGAGTACATTCTAGAATATGCTTGTCGGATGAATAAGGTGGTAAACGCTAGTTTACCAATTTGTAGGACGGGTTTGGATTTCCGCCAATTCTTAAGAAATGTTTTCTTACTTTTTTCTAAGAATAGAGAAATATGCGTTAATAAATACGGTTTTCATTAAAAACTATGAACTTTCGAAAAATGATGATCCGAAAATTCGCGTTTCTTTTGCTGAAGAATATGTTCCAAGAGCTACCTGAAGAAAATATGATTCAATTTGTAATATATTACGTAACATTTACAAAAATTATGAGAAAAACTTTTTTGTTGTAGATCCACTAGGTTCTAGTGTACATAAATGTCTTAAATACCTTAGTTTCATCTTATATCACTCGTTTCAAACAAAGCATTCCTCTGCAAAAGAGTAGACATTTCATCATGACCCAAAGGAACTAATAAATCTACTTCGTCGCCATATTTGAACATTTATGGCATCCATAAGTGCACTACTCGGACATTAGCACTTCGTCCTTACAAATCCAAACATTGACATTTAGAATTATGTACCCATCACTGCCTGGTCCCTCTCCAGTATCTTTAAATAAACAAAGTCAAGCAATGCATCACTCAACATTTCCAACGTTTTAGGAAACCTTTTCAACTATGAAATTATCAATCAACTTTCTACAATATATTAGCAAGAGAGCTTCAAGATTCTAAAACATGATGTCTCTTTATCACCTCCCTTAATGAATTTTGCTTCTTAATTTGACTAGATAACATTACAAAATAGAGTACACTAATCTTGTTAAGTTCCTTGAAGAAAACACTATTGTTGCAATCGAAATTACTATAGCCCTAACTACATTTAATTCATATTCTCTAAAACAATACGTTAATATCTTTGGATAGTTTTTTATTGTACTAATTGTATATAGATAATATAAATAAGACCTTTTTGCTAATGATGTTTTTCTTCTACAGGAAAATGCAAATACCATGAAACATGGCCAACTGATGCAAAAGTGAAGAATGATCCCATGATTGACAAAACTATTTTGAGTAAGTATAGAACTTTAACACTTCATTTCATAGGTTTTGACATTGTAATGCAAATAAATGCCTTAAAGCACTCCTTAAGTAGTAATTTCTTAAGTTACTTAAGTACTTTTAAGTTGTATAGCATTATAACATTTCTATAGTACAGTATAGTATTTAAGTTATAAGATCTTAATTATTTATAAAAAAGGAATTCAAAACCCCGAGATTGGCTATGAAAACCATGCAACTAAAAGAGTGCAAATGAACCAATGTTCGGAAAGGAAGTACTAATTTTCAAAAGCAAAATATATTGTCTCAAGTTATAGACACTTCATAAAATTTATAACTAAATTAGCGACTAGAAATTGTCGCTATAAAAAACAATTATAATTTCAATGCATTTTGTACATTGGGAATAAAACGGTTATTAACCTATCTTAAGTGCAAATCGCACACGAAGATGCCGCGATTTCATTTTAATAAAAATGCGTCTCCTACAAACTTGTGAATATTTTTGTTTTACAAGCATTCTAACGGGTCATTTTTCATACCATATTTACAGAAAGTCATAAATGAGAAAAAAAAACATTTCAAACCATTTCGCCGGATTCCGCTCAACTGCACGAATTTCGTATTGCTCTACTTACAATTTACTGACAAGTCACGTATTTGTTACTGGCAATTGAAATGTGTTAATTGGAAGTCGAGAACGGAAGTGTTCAAGCTCCATGCATCTGCGCAAATGACTTGCTGTGTGGTCCATCACCAATGGCAGCGCGCGGAAGTAGCAATTAAGTCAAAGTTCATATTATTTGGAAAAATGTTGGGAAAATGTCAACGTGACGTAGATTTTGTACTAAACGAATCAAATGCCGAATTACAAATAAAAAAATAGGCCCATTAGTTCAGACGTCATTGGTAATGTAAATTTTGCTGTTGCGCCGTGGTGGCGACCAACTGAACTAGTATTGGTACATCAGTCTTGATGGCGTGATGAGTAAAGAGCACTGAAAATCGCAGCAAAATAAGAATTTATTAGATATTAAACTCGGATTAACATTTTAAAAATCTTGTTGCTTCCTGCAAAGTGCTCTTTGCATTACGCCCCTTACACTTCATTGGCCTTTTTATTGCTGACAGCCTTCGTTGTTTGCACTTCAGACAACTTTTTCTAATTTTTCTGGCAAGACACATATAGCAAGATTCAAAGTCAGAAGTTGCCAAACGTTTGATGATGACAGCCATGAAACCTTATAAGAGCTTCTGCGGGCTGAAGCAAAAACTACAATTACACTTAGTCGTATTACAATTAATAAAAAAGGTAATTACGTTATAATTATCGTTCACTTTGGAAGGAACAAATGGACAAACTAGATTATTGATTAAACGCCAAATTTCATTAATCTATGCTTAAGACCGTGTCCGTTTAAAAGATAGTATGCAGTTGTTGCACTTGGTCGGGAATTCTTGGAAATTCCGTTAGTCTTTTATCAACTGTAGGCAGAAGTGTCAACTCGAATAAAACAAAACCCAACATACCATCAAATGCACAGAAAATTGCGGTTTGATGTTGGTGTTTCAGAGAAAGTTATCTAATTGTCACAGACTTCTAGCACCGTCCGCAAAACGTCTAAGGTCTCCGTCCCTGCACGTTGCCTTTCGAACAGAGCTCTGCTTTATCAACTGACATCGTGCTACGTACATTTGCATCCTTTCATTACAAGTACTGGACAAATCTTGGTTTCCTACAAGTGTAAAACATTTTTGGGCCCTTTGTTATATTTTTATTGCAATATTTTTCCTGTGAACATCAACTACTCATCAAATTGATTTGAAATCAGTTTAACGAGGAAAATGAAGATTAAAAGACAAAATTTTCAGCCTCTTCTCTAGTTTTGTGAATTTTCGTTACTATCCTTATGATCCAGCTTCGCGTTTTCAGAGAAAAAATACCTGGTACACAAAACTCAAAGAAGGCAGCGAGAAGGAGAGATACAATATAATAGGGTATTTTCAGTGATGAAATTAAAATGAAAGACGCATGGTTTTGACAAGGAATGAATTTGTCAAATGCAGTATCTACGCAAGGTCAGTTTTCGTTTCATATAACCATGAAGACCATACCATTATGACTCATCTTATTGATCGGATGACTACTTAGCCATTGCTTCAGAAACAGCTTCTCACCGCTGAAAGGACTTCCGAAATACTGTTCAGTAATGATTGAAACTGTGCATTCACTCATTCACAAGCGGTTCTTGACAGAAGCCTTTAATCCGTAACTTTGGATTCATCATGCATTTTCAAATGTCGCTACGGTCGCGATTTTTAAAAAAATATAATTATTATTATTTTAAATTTGTTTTTAACTTGTATTCGTTTTTTTAATTTTTATAGTTAAAATGATGAGAAGGGATTTAGGAACTCAAGAAAACGTGCGCAGATTATCTTCTCCCATACATACAGTTTTTTACTGTTTATTGATTAAATAAATCTAAATCCTTGCCGTATTACCCGTTTGTACATACAATGTCATGTCCAGTTTTTCTCATACACACCCTGCTAATTCGCGCTAACAAGTTTCATCATCGCAGCCCCCCTGAACTTTCGCTTTCCGCACCGCTTTCTTCAGGAAGCAGGTCTGGAAGGACAGCAGGGTGGATAAAACATCTCAGTGTCGAATCTTGCGTAGTTTGGAGATCCCTGGTGTAAGGGTCTACTTTCCATAACATCCCAAAATTTCTATACAATCTCTATTGTATCGACTGCCCAAAATGTTTCGACAAATCTTTCTTCCCCGGGAATGTAGGAAACCCATCTCGATCAGGTTTTTGTTCAGTTTCCCTGATCCATCGAGCAAATGCTGAGATGGTCCCCTGTTTTGCTTCTGGATGTAAATGTAGCTTCACTATGCGCACGTTTTGTTGAACTCTCCTTTTGCTTGTAATGGTAAGAGTAGAGGTAAGGGCAAGTTGCTATTTTGTTAGCAATGCAGAAAAAAATCATACTTGCAATTCGTGTACCGATGCAAATAAGTTTTCTATAATTCGGAAATTAAAATGACTATATTTTCTAATTGCTAATCTTGTGATTTTTAAAATTAATTTTTATTTATTTATGTTAAACGTTTACTCATATTTCAACTATTTATAGTTAAAATGACGAGAAGGGATTCTGGCGAGTTGCTATTTTGCTAGCAATGCAGAAAAATCATACTCGCAATTCGTTTACCGATGCAATTAAGTTTTCAATAATTCGGAAAAGAAAATGTCTATTTTTCAAATATTGCGAATCTCGCGATTCTTTTAAATTTATTTTTATTTATGTTAAACTTTTACTCATATTTCAACTGTTTATAGTTAAAATGACGGGAAGTGATTCTGGAACTCAAGAAAACATGTGCAGATAATCTTCTCCCCCCTAAGTCACATACAGATTTTACTGTTTTTGACTAAATAAATCTGAATCTAAATGTTTGTAAAAAAGTAGGCATGTCATATATCTCAAACTTAAGAACTTCCATTTGCATGTTTAGGTTCGCCCGGGGGGATACCATTATAACAATAGTGCCTTACAAAAATTTTAATTTACAATTTTATAATTTGCTCTGATCAAAAATAGTGTGTGTTATTTTTCGATAATATATTTGACAATAAAGGCTGTAAATTTAAGCTTTTTCTATTTTAATATATCAAGGTGAAAGTTGCAACTTTCTTAATACAAGAATTTTCAATTAGAAATTTTATTACTGTTAAATTTCGCCAATTATTGACACTTCGACAAGTATTTCCACAAGTGTGTATTGTCGAAAGTAGCCAAGTATTAAAGAAGCAAAATAATTTTAATAGACATTTCAAATGTACTGTACTTAGTAAAAACAAATATTTTAAGTTTTACTCTCTAAAACACACGTTTATGTTGAATTGGTGAGATTGGCGGCAAGTGTGTCACGTGACTGTGAGTGAGACCAACTCCACGTATGCCACTGATAAGGCTCAATAGACATTTCATTTACACTTAATGAAAACTACGCTTTATCAGAATAAAAATAATTTTGTACTCAGTGTCAAGTAAATCTATCTTCCTTCTTTATGACTCTCATTTATTGAGAATTTTAAATGTATTTCCTTCATATTACATTATTAATACATTTGCTTCCATTTTCAGATTACACACGAACAGAAATATCGTTTTCTATCATCAGTCTGTTCCTCATGTTGCTGGGTTTCTTCTTCTCAGTTTATACTTTCCGAAATCCTCGTTACATGTTTAAACGCCTCGCAGGGGGTATTCACTTTCTCACATGTAAGTATGAGAACTTTTAACAATGTCATAGAAAAGTAGAAAGGCATCAATGAAATATTAAAATGAATTAAATATTTTATTTCTTTTAACTGTAGATCAATATTCATCTTAATGCTATGCTTGTCAGTCAACACACACAATCTTGATATCAACTCCGAAATCCTAAATACCTCTAAATTAGTACATCTTCAAAAACTAAAATATGAAAATATATCTGTATATCATGATAGAAAAAGATAGCAGCATAATGACTTCAGCTTTATAATGAGTACATATGATCCAGTAATTGAAATTTTAAACAATCAAAAACTCTGTTTTATTTGAGAAACAAATATATCAAGAGTAATTCCATTAATTGGGAAATATTCCCAATTTGAGCCAGTGTCAAAGTCAAAACGAATGATCAAATAAATGGACAATTTTTTGGGGGTGGAGAGGGGTTTTCTTAAAGAAGAGTTTTGCTTCCATTACTACCTTCAAAAGAACTAAAAAGCAGGTACTATTCCCAGGGGCATATCTAAGGGAGGAGTTCATTGGGCTTCAGCCCCTCCCAGAAGACAATGAGACATTAAAAATCTAGCATTTACCGACTTTCCTATACAAACGAAGTCACTAAATATATCACTTGTTGATGTTATAAATATTAACTGTAAGACAACAAATAAAAATACGTTTTACATTCATCAACAATTTTTTTTTTAATCTTAAAACATTAAGTCAGCTGAACACTGAATCTATAACACACACCCCTTGACAAAAATCCTGGGAGTGCCTCTGACTAACCCTAATCCACAGAGCAAATGCCAGGAGCCATTACTTGGTTCACAAAACAAAGGAAACTTTCACTCAACATGAGTGGTAATCTGACTTTATAAGAAAAGTAACATCATCTTAAAAATGCAATGCTTTTCAAAGGCTTCAATTTTCATTCCATTAGGTCAATACAAATATTTAATATAAATTATGTTTTGACTTTCAACAATTTACTGCCCCAGCTGGGAATTAAACTTTAATTTCCCAAAGCACTACACCCAGTTCCTCTAACCACTGGAGGTGCCGAGACAATCAACTCTTTGATCAGCCATAAGGAAATAAGAGCTCCTGATACACTATACATTTCACCATCACCACATTTCATCATACATTTAACCATCAGAGTTGCAATAGGAGATGACAACTGCAAAACTGGAAATGAATTCTCACAAAATTGTTAAATGTCCAACTGTGAAACTGTGATGGTGAAATGAATAAAAATATTTATGAAACATTAAATGTTACACTTGCTTTTGAACTGGAAGTACACAATACGGACAAAAGATTGAATGTTTCTTAATAATGCAAAAAAAAGGTTTTCCTAAATGCAATTAATGAAGGTTTTTGATTAACATTTGCATTCAATAAAATAATGAAATGGACTTTTTTCCACAGGTGGTTCAGTTTTGGCTGTAATTGAAGTGCTCATCAGTTCGATTGCCTATGAAAGAAAACATCTACCAGTCACTTTCCCCAAAGCAGCTGATTACAGTTATGGGTATTCCATCTACTTGGCCTGGTTTGTATTTACTTTTATTCTGGTCTCAGGTTTCTCGTTCATGATATTCTCTCGTAAACGCAAAGGGGATAAAGCACCCACAGAAGAATTGGCCATGGCTGATGAACCCACCATCATTGGAAGGTAGATTTTAATGTGAATTAAAGAAGAAAGTGACAGCATGAAAATTGATAATAAAGGACAATTCAATTTTTATAATACAATTTCTTACTGTGTGATTTTTTTTTTTCACAAGTGGTTCAAAGTGATATAAAAGACAAAAGACATTGAACTGAAAAACTTATATTCTCATTTATGTCACCCAATATGCTTCCACAAAGAGTGGGATGCAGAATTGCTTGAAGTGTTCATTTCAGGTTCTTCACACAGTTATCAATATACTACAAAAATTTCCATCTTGTTAATTAATACTTACAAACCATGAATTGTCTTCACCGTTAACTTTCATATTCCACAAACACATACCAAGACAACCAACATATCATTTAGCACTGCTTAAAATCCACATTCATTATAAAAACCTTAACCACACATTTGAAGTTTCAACCTAGTTCACTACTTCATATGACTGTGTTTTGAACATGGCCCACAAGAATACTCGGCAAAAAAAAATCTTTTAGATGAATTTTTGTGCAGTTGACACAGTTCTCACACCTTATTACCACTAACGATGTTATATTTTTATTGACCTTTTCATTAATATTTTGTCACCCACGCCAAGACAACCAACATATCAGTAAATGTTGTTTTTTTTTCCAATTTCTATCCTACCTTCAAATCCTTTACATGCTAATAAAAGCAATTGTTACTCTGTACTGTTAAGTAGTGCGCACAGAAACTGTACTCACTGTACAACATTTTGTAAATATTTGTGTACATTTTGACTGAATAAATACAAATATATTACACAGTTTTCTAGTAAAAATAATGTATGAAATGTTCATCACTATTTGTTATTGTTTTTGATAAAAAATCTGACCAGAGAAGAAAGAAAAATATAAACTGATAAACAGCCTCAGAATATCAAGAATATTTTCTGTACAAAGCAACATTGTCTCAGAACTCTGCTTCTCAGTTGTTAGAAGAAAATGGACAATATTCAAAATAATAACAATAATAATTATGATAATGTGCCACATCCAAGGGGTGGGAAAGGGGGAGAGGTAGCACAGGGGTTCAGATCTCTTTCACGCCTAAAGCCCTTGCACATCATGGAATTTTGAAATATCATACACATTCACATCTCACAAAAGATATTTGCTTTTCTCAAATAAGAGTTAAATAAAATTTGTATTCTCACATGAATTTCTAACCTATTACCACAGAAGATATATCTGCTTCTGTATATTATCATTTGTACATTAACATACAAATTATATTGTAAGAACATTTCTCTACAGTATCTATTGAACTCTCAATATTTACAATCTAACATGGCTAAGCATGTTGTATTGAACTACTTTACACAGCTCAATAAGTTCAGTATTCAACATTCTTTATTGAACTTCACTGGTGAAGCAAACAAAATAAACAATGATTAATGAAAAACGAATGAAAACATTTTCAATATTACAGTTGCGTTTTCATCTTAGGGCAAGAATGAAATTTCCATGATGGAAATGATAGCAAAACAATTTTCTTTCTACATAATAACTAATGATAGCAGGATAAAGCACTTTAAATTTCAAAAAATGGCATATTGGATACAAGGATATAGCATTTTGTAACATTTGTTGTGAAAATTATTATTAAGGGAGGTCACTTTGAGATGAATTATTTTCATGATTTTTAGATTTTCCGATTCCTCCATTAAAATTAGCAAATAAAGGATACCTAATAACTTAATTTTTCATCATTTGTGAACTTCAACAAATATGTAAAGAAATAATTTTAAATCCATACAATGGTGCCTATCTTGTATAGAACTTCTGGCATTAGTATGACACTATTCAAAGGAGAAGAAAAGAATTGCCTTGCACCTTTTTGTAATTACTTATTAAAACAACACAACATTCTTTTAAAAGGCTGTGTATTCTGTTAAACAAACCAATCTGTGTAAATACTTATGTAACACTATCAGTGGAAAATTAACTGGGAGAATATTTCAATGTTTGTTTCATTTAGCCAATTTCTTCTGTCAGTAACAATTAAGCTATATTGACTGAAAAATCATTTATCTTCTACACTGTTAGCACCTGTCAATATAAATGTTTTCACACATTCATGTGTTGTACAAAGTGTAGAAGCTCTAGGAAGATTAAATTAAAACATGCTTTTGCATGGAAATCTTGTCTCTACTCATTACATTTTAGAACTGCTCCAGCTGTTAGAAATATCCCAGCATGTATGGCAAAGCATGTGAAAGATCATAAAACACTGCTGATAAATAGCTCTAATACTAATATACTAATTAAATTACTAATGTTCGACGATTTGTAATATTAAGTTAATTTATCTTCACTAAGGTTGTAGAAAGAAGCTGAAAAATATTGGAATTTTACCATTTTTGAAAAATTACAGAGAGATCTTTAGTAGAGGTCAAAATGTAATCAAAACATTTTGTGCTGTTTTCGAGAAAATAATGTTATAAAAATAAATATTGAATGTCTAAAACAAAAATACTCATTTTCGAAAAAATGAACATGACCCTACTTGAAGATCAATTTTTTATAATTACACTTAATTAAAAAAAAACATTTTTATAACTATAGTTGACGGGAAAAAACTTGAATTTATGCAATTTTCGACAAATTTGGGTTTTTAACGAAAATGAGATCTGCCTCTTACCGGTCCCCTACGGTATCGGAGGTCGAAAAATAATAACAAAAATTAGTGCTGTTTTCAAAAAAATGTTTAAGAAAATAAAAATTGTCTATATTTTTCGCAAAAATACCCAAAATTTCGGAAAACTACTCAAATTTTCGAAAAATTGCACATAACCTTATTTTAAAATCTGACTTCAAACAAAAGATTTTATGAAGAAAAAATCATCTTCAATATTTCAGCAGTGGGATCACGGAGAAAACAAACTTACGCAATATTACAAACTTACGCAATCACGGATACAAACAAAATCTGCACCGTTCGAACGTTTAGGTTACTTTCACGCTATCCAACGACAATTTTTAACAAAAAAATTGGTGCCTTTTGTAGGTTTGAAATTGTCTCACGGGCTTCATTTAAAGTGCCCACCTAAATTAAAATCTAGGTTTCAAATGCAAGGGGCCGCGACATCAACCAGATCGATTGGGAAATATCAATTTAGTAGAAAATCGGATGAATGATTTGGGCGTTAGCGTACATCAGACGGACGGACAGACAAACAAAACGTTTTGCCATCAATCAATTTTTCGCTATCAAGAACCAACAAAGCATGGTTTCTGACTATGCAATGTGTTGGATAAAGTAATTTACTATACAGACTGTCCGGGAAGGAAAGATCGAAACTTCGAAAATAAGCTTTTAAGACAATTTTAAGCATATTTTGTCTAACTACTTGGATATTCCGAAAGACTAAGCAGCTTTAAGCACTGAAAATTTGTTTTGAAAATATTTTTTCTAGGCAAACATTTGCATTGCAGAAACGTAGAAACACTCCAGAAACATGTACATTGTTTATTATTTTAAAACAAATTGATATAATTGTTTAGAAAGAAAAAATAAACCATAAATAAAAAAGCTGTTGAATGGTCTAAATTTGGTGCTTTTTTATATGTGATAAATTTTCTTTCGGATCGAATATATTAATTTATTTTGTAAATAATAAACAATTTACATTTTTCTGGAGTGTTTCAATGCTTCTGCAATACAAAATTATGAATAGAAATCGTTTTTATAAACCAACTTTTGAGTGCTTATTGCGGCTCAACCATTCGGAATATCTTATAAGTTTATTATGCAAAATATGATGAAAATTGTCTTAAGAGCTTATTTACGAAGTTTCGACTTTCCTCCCCAGACATCTTGTGTATAGGGACAAGATTTACCCAGAATTTCGTTATCGGCAATACGAGTTTTTGTGACAAAAATTCGTAGTTTTTTCCTGCAGTATTATAATACTTACATCTCTATACTGCTTAAGCAGTAGCGAAAAAGTATTTGACAGTTAAATTAAACTAACAATAAAACTAAATAAATTATTTGTTATACTCAACAGATAAATACTTTCTACGTGGAAGAATTCTAATTTAACATATGAAATACTCAAAACCGAAAATCGTGAAATTGAGTTTCTCGGTCAAACTTTTGTGTGATAGTAAATTATTTAAATACAATGGTTACATATAAGTCCAAAGATACATAATATAAAAATATAATTTTAATTATTTTTGAAATAATAAAAGTCATTCAATATATTCTTAACCGAATTTGTTATGACTATAAACCAAGAAATAAAAATACATATTAACTTCAGCTTAAATGGAAAAATCATTTATAGTGTATTGTAAAGTTCGCTGGAAACTACACCTCCAGGGCTGGGTACACCTACAAGCAAATAAAAGCTGTTGCTTAAGGGCTCTCTTATCCATGGCGGCCCAACGTTTCATAGAAAAAGTCATTAAATATTCAATGTCATAACAGTTATTTATTTAAAGGACGGGAACTTATCGATTTTGAATTGTTTTGTGGTCTGTGGTGGAGCCGATGTTGTAAATAAATCCAAATTCATTCATTTTCGGCTCGAGGTGCATACAACAATATTTCCCCTGTCACTCATCAACCCCGCCCCCCCCATTGCCCCCTTTAAAGGTTCAATTTTTGGAGAGAACATCCGTTTTTGTCTCGTAATTGCAGATCATCTTCTGCATTGTCATCTCCGAAGTTGTCAGTCACAATTGTTAAATTACTGAAATTGTCAACTGTTTCAATTATTTGAAAACTGTATTTACTTACATTGACTTGAATTACGTTGCCATGGTAGTCGTCCGCCAATTTACTTGTTCGTCGTTCGCCGCGAAAATTGAACTTGGCGGCCAATAGATGCTCCGCAAAACACCGCTTTGGAGGTAAGTTTGAAAAATTACGGTAGTATCAGTAAAGTAATTGTAAATAATATTTTATCTGAAAATAATAAATAAATTTTACAGTTGTATTTGTACAAAGTTATTGTTGGTGTAGTTTTACTAGTGTTCTATAGTTAGTTATAAGATATTCTACTTGTGTTATATATAGTAATCGGATATTAGAACAAATGTCTATTTTGTTTTTGGAAGTTGAGGAAAATAATTGTAGGTTTTTTACGAATCATGAAAAAATGCACCGAAATCATCTAATAGTACCTAAAAGGGCGATTTATGCTTATGTTTCCCTAAAACTGACTAAAACAAGTAATTTTCAAAAATTATCATATTTTAATTAGTACTCGTGTTTACTTTCTCGAACTAGCTTCGTACTAAGTGATACTATAGAGCGCCGAAAAATGGCAAGTTTTCGACACAAAAACTATTATTACACGGCCCTCGTAACGAAAAAGTGGAAAAGTTTTATTCCTGTATCTAGCAAATTACTTCCTCTACCACATTGTAGTCATAATCCATGTTTTGTGTGTCCTTCATTACACAAAAATCAATTGATAACAAAATGTCTGTTCGTCTGACAGTGATCAAAACTAGCGCCCAACCTAAACCGTATACTGCCGATTTTCCCCAACACTGATATTCCTTGATAGATTCGAAAATTGCGTATGTTTCAGGGAAAAATACGTTTCATGAAGAAAAAAATATTTTTCTTCATAATTCTAATTGTAGGAAAACGCCGGGAAAATGTTGAATTTTTTAAATTTTTTAAACAACCAGTAATTTTAACGAAAATGAGACCTGCACCATTCTCTTAAACGTCCTTTACGCTATACGAGGTCAAAATTAAAAAAAAATATATGTACCATTTTTTTTTTTAATGTCTCAGGGGCTTCATGTAAAGTAACCTTAATTTGTTATTAATTTCTTGTTTTAATTCATTACAACCACAATGATATAAAATCATTAGTTTATATTTGTATTGTATATAGAAAAAATAGACTTAATTTGCCTGTAACAAGTAATGTACTTCAGCTTCCGAGCCAATGACCCCCATCTCGATCAGGTTTTTGTCCAATTTCCCTGATCAATTGAGCAAATGCTGAGATGGCCCCTAGTTTTGCTTCTGGACGTAAATGTAGCTTCACTATACGCAGGTTTTGTTGAACTCTCCTTTTGCTTGTAATGGTAGGAGTAGAGGTAAGGGCGAGTTGCTATTTTGTTAGCAATGCAGAAAAATCATACTCGCAATTCGTTTACCGATGCAAATAAGTTTTCTATAATTCGGAAAAGTAAATGTCTATTTTTTCAAATATTGCGAGTCTGGCGATTTTTTTAAATTAATTTTTATTTATGTTAAACTTTTGCTCATATTTGAACTGTTTATAGTTAAAATGACGGGAAGGGATTCTGGAACTCAAGAAAACGTGTGCAGATAATCTTCTCCCCCCTACGTCACATATAGCTTTTACTGATTTTTGATTAAATAAATCTAAAAGACGAACTCGTGCGTCTCCCTTCCGCACAGTTGGATTGCTGGGGAGAAAACTTGAAATTTAGATGGGAAAATGTATTTTATAAAGTTCGTTCAAAGCAGGTGAACTATACCAAACATTTTCAACTGTATCAACATTTGCATCTCACATTTAAAAAAATGCATCGAAAAATACAATTCAACCTCTTCTATATTTATAGCTGAAGGAAAACGAAAATGATACGTTCACTGAGGAGTTACGTGAAGCTCTTGCTGCTATATACCATGAAGAAAGATGGTTAATTCTGTTTTAGGTTTTTTGCTGTCGAAGAAATACATCAAAGGGAAAATTCCCCACGAGTCCACTTTGCCAAAAAAACACTACATTAAACCCCTCTATGAAAAAGTGCTCAAAGCAATTACTGATGACAGATTTTGGCTTTGAACTGATTCCTGTGAAAGGTTGTTTTTTTTATTAGACAAATAAAATCCCATTACGAGCAAGGGCCTCCTGCCTTTTTGCAGGGAATACTCAATGAAGCGATGATGGGTGATGATGAATGGACGAACGGCGGGACTGGAACCCGCGATCCTTCGACCCGAGGTCGCCGCGGCACTACTGTCTTAGCGATCTCGGCTCAGGAAGGTGGTACGTAGCGAATGTAGTCATGGATGAATTAGATTCCGAAGATGCTGGATCTCATTTAATTATGTGCAGAAGAGAAAATAAACCATGACACCAATGCAAGGCCTGTGCGAGATACATTGCGTTTATTGTCAACAGCTGAAGACCACAAAGAGAGATTATTGGAATTTCTGACGGAGAGTGCGGCATACATGCTGAAAGCAGCGGCAGTCTTAAAGTTTTCTGCCCCAGAATGATCCACATCACGTGCATTGATCATAGCCTATATCGTGTTTGGAAGAGATTCGTTCGCAGAAGGGGCGGATCTAGCCCATCATTTCAGGGGGGCATTGTAGATATTTGTTAAATAATCAACATATTGGTTATTATATTGTATATTATATATGTACCTATTTGTAGATATACTATACAATATTATGTTTAAAGAATTACACTGTAAATAAATATCTAAATTAATTTTTGACGTAAACAAACACTCTAGACCTTTGGGGGGGGGGGCGCCATGCCACCCCTCCCGCGGATCTGCGAGTGGTTTGCAGCACCACATGTTAATAATTTCAGTTATCAGTTAGAGTTTTTGTCATAATTTCTTAGAGAACTCAAAAATTCAAAGAGGAACTACTAAAAATTCCTCTTCTGCCAGAGCCTGTAGTCTTGGTTGAAAAAATGATGGCAATTGAAGAATGAAAATACGGTTTTGAGAACGGTGAAAAAGATAATGGTATTTTACAGGATAAAGTGTGTGGTACTGAAAATATCACAGCTAAAGAAATTGCAACTTAAGTATTGTCCCCTAAATGCATTCGAAGTTGAAAGAACATTCTTGCAAGTAACAGAAAAAGAATCATACCAGTAAATTTGGAAAAATATATTGTAATCTCCCGCAATACAAATTAACTTCTGTTTGTATCATTCAAGATGTAAATCAAACTATTTTGTATAGACTAAAACACTTTTATTTGTGCATAATTTGCATTTTAAGTGTATGTTTTCCTAATTTTTAAGTATATTTGCAACCATATTTTTAGGATCTGCACCCTAGTAATCAACATCCACCAATTCTAAAAGTTAATAAAATTTGCATGCCCAGATTACTCATACAAAAACAGGCTATATTTGTTAACAATAGAATGTTGTTAGGTAACCATTAATCTGTATTCCACACTGTTTCTGAGCAGATATCTGTAAATGGGATTCCTATTTTTAGGGGGAGGGGGGGAATGTGGATGCCAACAGGTTAAGTTGTATTGGACACTTCCAATCAACCCAATCGGTATGTATTGTTATAGGCCTGTTCATTAAAAAATTTCATCTTGAAGACAGGTCACCTTTTTCAGCAACAAAATTGGCACCTAATCACATAGTTTCCTAAGAACTTTATTGTGAATAAATCGATATAAAATTATATACACATTAACTTATAGGTCAAATTCATGATTCTCCACCTCATAATTAATAAAAATTCTAAAAGCTTATCTAGATCTGAGCTTCTTGAATTTAAAATTATTTTGCTAAAACATGCAAAATAAAAAGTGGTGTATATACACGTGACCTAAGAAAATGAAGCTTTACGACAGAAAAGAAATTTTTATTTTAATGTTAATTCTATGAGTTAATCAGACAATTCAGTTGAAGTAAAATAATACTTTAATAACTGCTGCTTTCAGTCTTTGAAAATTCTCAATATTGGTATGTTTGCCACCAAATGTTCGTGCTCAAAAAATAATTGTGTATACTAAGAAAATAACTTGCTTCACTCATCCACAGCTCACAACAATGTACATGCACGTTTCCATACATAAATAGATGAAATTCATGAAGCCCAGATTCAAACTCTGGCACCAAGAGAAATTGTGCATTGTACAAATTTGTTTTTTCCTTTTACAAAATAAATCATAAGTCATAAAGATGTTGATCCTGCAATCTGCAATTCTTCTAAAATAAAATATTAACTTTCTTTCAAGTTATATCTTCACAAAAATTTGCAGGATAACATCTCACTTGAATAATCATTAGAAAATATTGAATTTTTTATACATGAAAAATTTCTTACCTAAAGAGAAACATGTATTAGGAGCATTGTGGCTTATCTTCAAAATTTATCAATGGATACACTTTATCTGTTCCACAAGGAAGTGTGTCCTGATAGAAAGTCATAAATTACAAGTAATATCCATATAATACAAAGAAGCATTCCATGTTATACAGTGATTCACAAATTACTGCTAAGAGTTTTGAAAAGGGTACGTGTAAAATTTAACAAGGAGCATATCACATTTCTTGGTCTTCCACAACAGCTTCATCCCAAGGGCCATATATATTCTCCTTGTACCGTGTCCATTTCTTAAAAAGTAATGGACATATTATGGTAACAAATATAACAACACATGAAAATAAAACTGTCATGGTTACAGATACAGTACAAAGTGCCACCAATGACAAAAGAATTACCGTTGAAAGAATAACTGCAGAATCCTCAATCTCAGCAACTAATATGGGAAGAAGAGCAAAACATTCCACAGTATTTGTCAGAAGAACAAAAGCATGAAAAGGAGTTGCAAGGCGAGAAGCAAGACATACTGATGCAAAAAGAGCGGCATTCAATGACAGTGCACTAGAAACAATACTTGCAGAAATACCATAGTCAAAAAATACAAGGTGAATGAACATCATAAATGTTGACATTGCATAAATTGTATCAGTACTAATAGTATCAGTCAATGTCTTAAGTACTGGTGAAAGAACATATCCAAAGCCAAGAAAGACTAAAACAGTTCGAAGGTCTTTCAATAATGTTGTGTAAGGCATTGCACCTGTCAAAAAGAACCTGTATAATATGTACCCTAAAGAAGTCAGACAACCACTATACATGAACACTGCTTCAGGCTCAACCCAACCATTGTAAAGGTACACAAAAATTACAGTAAACAAAACAATAATACATAACTCGTGAGTCACTCTACCTGCGCCTAATATAATAGTTGGAAGAGGTGAATCTTTCACATTTAAATTTTTTCGTAACTCTTCTAAAAAGGATGTGTCCGTATAATTATCCAAGAATCCATGATTTTCGTACAAATTTTTCTTCCACTTTCTAGGCTTCTGAACATACGTCTTCTTCAATTTCATAATTAACGATTTGCAATATATGACATAATTAATTGTGAATCACAATGAATTTCAATATTCTTATATTAACAATACACATGTTTTTTGTTGTTTATTTTTGTGTGCAAATCACTGAATGTATGACTGGCTGCCGGCGTAATTCACTGTCAGTTTCTGCATTCTCGTAAACATGATTCTTCTGAGTTGCGCTGCATCCATAGAGCAGAGCACTGCAGAGCACCCAATTCTTCTTAGTTGCCTATGGTTGCCCAGCGAGTCTGCAACGTTGCAGATTCTCTGGTTTCTCTGCAAATGTTCCAAACAATCGAAGAACAAAGAAACAGTTTCACCATTTTCATGGCAAATACTCTCGAGGGTATTTGATGTCTAGAAGAATGAACTAGAAAATTTACTTAGAGAATGACATATGTTGAATAAAATATATGAATTATTGCAATGTCATTAAAAATAATGTTCCCCATTTCATAGGTTTACACACACAGAAATTGGTTTTCCACACATTCACTTTCGTAAGTTGTATAACATGTGCAGTGCATGAAAACTTGCCTCTCGTGTAGACATGGGCGCTCTGTGGCCTCTGGTTCGGGAGTCTTGATTATCGTAAATCAGCTGTTCAAAGTTCTTGTATTTATTTACAATACAATAATGCCTAAAGTTCGAAGAAGCAAACGAGCACCCCCCGAAGGATGGGAGCTAATTGAGCCTACATTAGAAGAATTGGAGCAGAAGATGAGAGAAGGTAAGACGACGACTTTACGGCATCAATGCTTATTTGAAGGTATAGTATACTAAATTCTTTATATTTTCAGCTGAGACAGAACCTCATGAAGGGAAACGTAAAGTGGAGGCATTGTGGCCAATTTTCAAAATTCATCATCAGAAATCGAGGTATATTTATGATCTCTTCTACAGACGTAAAGCTATCAGTAGAGGTTAGTTGAGTGAAATGTCAATCATGATTTTTATGACTCAATGTTTTCAAGTATTTCCTTTTATCTTATTGCATCCTTTATCATTTTTTCAGAGCTCTATGAATATTGTCTTAGAGAAAATATAGCAGATAAGAACCTCATTGCTAAATGGAAGAAACAAGGATATCAAAATTTGTGTTGTCTCCGGTGCATTCAAACCCGTGATACAAATTTTGGGACAAATTGTATTTGCAGAGTACCAAAGGGAAAATTGGAGGAGGTAAGCCTTGATATTATACCTTCTGTTTGAGAGTAATGCTGCAAAAATTGACATTTCATTTGTTACATTTCTTTAAAAGCAAATGGGTTGTTTAGTAAAACAGTAAGCCTTTTTTTATATTCCTGATTTAAAGCCAACGGGGAACTAAATAGAATATTTTTATATTTAAATTACACTATTTGAAAAGGTTAATGCATCATACATGATTTTGAAAAAAACAAAATTTCATTTATGTGGTATAAAACTGAACAAAAAGTACACAATGAATGTATAATCTAATAACTAGAAGTCAGAATTTAAGGGACTAACAATTTTATTGAAGGTTTATTGATGTAAAATGACATGAAAGAAATTAAAATAAAAAGGAATAGGCAGGAAAAAAGCAATAAAAATTAAATTTGAATTAGAAAAGGCATATATATACTTTACAATACTTTTAAACTGTGAGAAAAATTATTTTCTCTTGCTAATATGTGGTGAATTATTTTTAAATTTTGTTTTTTACTCAGTTTTATTTTAGTCATGGTCTATCAATACAGTTCTAACAGTTTGGAGAATGAGAATCCCTCTGTCAATAGTTAATTAAGTTGTGGGTTTAAATTTTGGCACCTTCTCACAATTGCCCTGGGAGTTCATGGAAACATATTTCCCACTCAGCAAAGATAGTAATATCTGTAAACAATGATACCCAGGATTTTCATCAAAATTTATGTTTCTCGATTGATAAGGCTGATGTCACAGCCCCGTGAAGTTGTAACATCTATTTTTATTGTATGGAGTTCTTAATGTGATGCCTCATGGAAATTTCAATTTTTTTCTCAAACATTATCTCAAATTAAATTTTTTTGGATAGAGCAGAGTATACCTATGAAAATGGTGCAGGACCGATGTTATTCTGTGAATTTTTGAAAGTTACAAAACAGAGTATTTCCTACAATAAAATTGAAGGTTTTTCTTCTGAATGAAAATTGTTCTTGAAAAGTAGATTTTTCAATGAGATTGTGTACATGAGTAATTGTTTGTGTAATTTTGCACAAAATAATATTAATTTTAAAAAGATTTTCTCAAAAGCTGTTCAAAATTTCTCTTACCAGTTTGTACGGATAGTGCTAAACACACTAACTGTATAAACTGTCCTGATGGAGTATGTACTGCTCACTCCTGGCATAAATGCCATTTTGATGTGTTCTTTCACATCATTTTCTGATTTTTTTAAAATTATTTTATTGCATTTTATTTCAATAATACTTGAAAATTCAAGTTTTTTGTTAAAACAAGCTTAAAATTCTAATGACATTTCCTCAAGAATATTATCCATAGAAATTTTGCTTATAGAAGCATGCCTTACTCTTCATTAATATTCTAAAAGTCATATTTCAATTTGACTATAAAATTGAGAAAATGTGTTTTTTAGAATTTCGCTATCAAGAGCGGTACTTTCATGGTATAAATAGCATTAAATTTTAACATAAGTGATGAAAAGGGAGGCAATGCGTAAGTGTTCAGATAAATCTGTGAATGTACAATAAAGGACACAAACTTTCATCTGACTGCATCTACTACAGACCTTAATGTATCACAATTGATTTGTATACTTGAATTAAAACTAGTCAGTAAAGCTGTCTACGTAGTATATGACACACATGCTAAAAATTATTTTATTGTGTTTGTAGAATTGTGCCATGGAGAGGGGGGGGGGTGAAACGGTTAGCCAGAGGTTAGAAAACTAACTTGAGAGAATGTCAGTGCTCTTTACATACATTAATGAATGGTACTACTAAATAACATGTTGGAAATTGTAAGTACTTCTATATTCGAAAAATAATTGTCTGAATTTCTTTCACAGGGACGTATAGTAGAGTGTATACATTGTGGTTGTAGAGGATGCTCAGGATAAAATACTTCAGAATACACTTGCGGAGCCATCAGCTTGTTTTGTAAATGAAATGGACTTAAAAGTGAAGACTTGTGCTGTGTTCTTTCTTGCATAAAATGTTCCAGAATTTCTCGCTAACGACTAAGGTTGTTAAAATGCAAGACAAAATAATTCTGAAATTGTTTTATTTGTAACTTGGAATACTGTAGACAGTCATCTGTATATATGTCAGTACATAATAAACGATACTTGGTAAACTTTGATAAATGTGCATTTTCTATCTCTCATATTTTAGAATATATACTACTACCATGTCACATTTGTTAACTCACTAAGACAAACCCATAACATCAGAGTACTGTTTTCAATTCCTAGAGGAAAGAAGCCGATCGAAGAAATCATGAAACTATTAATTTTCAGTCACATTTACCAAAGATTGAACACTTGCAGACTGACCACCTTATAATAACACTGGTACTTCGTCATACTTAATAAGAGCATGCATTTGTATTTCAAAGTACAAAGCTCACGATAACATCTTCGAAAATTGTTTGAAGAAATCTTTCACTTACAAAGTAATTGACAACTACTTGTCCCTGCAAATGTCAAAAAACCTCTTACAAAAATTTGCATAAAAAATTAAAAATATCCGAAGAGACTAGATAAAAACCATTGTGCAATTTTCAGTTTGCACTCGTCTCTATATAAATTCTCAAGGCAATTAGTTTAAGAACAATATCTTAAGGTCATATAAATACTATCTTCAACGTAACTGTATAATAAACATGTTAATAACCAGTCAATATATTACATTATGTAGCAGCATTTTATAACTATGATAATCACTTGCTGTACATTACATGGATCAACGGACTCAATTGATAGCCAATAAAATCTGACTTCAGAAATTTGAAAAATTTTAATTAGCTGACCAGATATTCCTAGTTAGGATAGAAATCACATTCCCACAAACAGCAGTTCTGGGAAGACAGTGTTGGGTTTCTCAAACAAATATTCGTATGGTTCCCTGAGAGAGCAGTTCAATGAAGGCCACCAATTTCCATGGACATGTAAATGGCAGTAAGGAAGGAGGACCTGCTCCAAGCAGCAGGTATATACATACACAGCACTTTTGCATCACACAGTACATGAACACATTTTTAGACCACATGTACATGGACTAACATTACTCAATGCAATTCTTGGCTCAGTGACCTCTTGTACCATTTTACAAAAAAATTATTTTGAGACCTCAAACTTTTGGAGTTGTTCTCAAGTTTAAAGAAACAGAAGGGAAGGAGGTAGAAAATTCTATTCCTCACTCGCAACAATTTTCTGACAACCTGTGGGAACCTATCTAAAAGCTAAAGTTTGAGAACCTGTTTTCACAACTTCATTACATACAACCTTTTCCTCTGGAGATCAGTCAGTCAGTTTCTCAAAAACCATGCATGCATAGCGAGTGTAAGATGTCTTAAGCATAGACAAATTCAACAGACTTTCCTCATTAAGTAGTCAAAGACAATTCACTAAAATTTAACTTGATATGATTTCAAATACTAACATTTTAAAATGTCATTTAATATGTAAGTTTTATTAAATGGAATGCAAGTCAAACTTGAATTGTGCAGCAGAACTTATTTACAACTATTTTTGTTGAATTTTATCATTTACAAAAGATAGTTTGTTCATTTTAACCTGCATTTGAATAATTGGCACATTGATCATGAAGAATAAGCACCAGCAGAACTAACATTGAAGTTCCTTGAAATGCAGGCGTTGCATACCAAAGGCATTTGTACCTTTGCATAGATAGATTGTGCTTTTGGCATCCTGGATATCCTACATACTCTTTGTAATCAGAAATTAACATAAGCTTGCACTATAATATTTCATATATTTAACTTCTGATAATATGGTTTCATGTATTAAAAGTGTGACAAATGACTATAGATGTAACAAATAGAAAAAGATCCACTGAAGGGACTAATGTAACAAGTAAATTTTAGGTTGTACCACATACTACACATGTGGTGAACAACCAAACATTCTTTCTTCTGAAAGTACCCAACTCCCTTCTTTTGAATTTTAACTGCATATATTAACATTTCATAATCTTAGTATTCAGAAATAGTATATTGATACTTTATTTTTAAGTCCAAATAAATTCAATTTATGAGTTAATGTAGAATAGGCATTCTACAATACCTAATTCAACATCCATTTGGTTTGCTTGTACTTCTTTTTTTCCACATGTAATGCAAAGCATCTAAAGCATTACATTGGAAAACAATTGTTACTGCATGCTACATCAATATGCTCAGAATATACATAATAAATGCACAAAAATAAAAACAAAATATTTTACTGTTTTTCTTCATTTAAGAGCTGATGAAAAAATTGTAACCATTGTTGTTTCATAAAACTCTCAAAGAAAAATATGTGTTATTACCTCAAAAAAGGTTGCACATTCAATTATTATATACAAGAGCATCAGTATTTCATTTACCAGTTATGTCTATCCACATTAAATCATTGGAGAAATTTAGCATGTCACCAGGTTTTCTGATATTTTGATTAAATCATCAAAACCAAGTTTACATAAATTCTTTTCAATGTTATTTTGTAGAAAAAAGATTAAGTATGTAAGTATAGTTTTACCTAAAACATATGAATGAAATTGATTATACAACTGAAATGACTTCACAGATAACATTTTTGACAAACGTATTTGTCTCAATACAAACATTCCTTTTCCCGAATTGTATTCTCAAATAAGTTTTACTTTTCTGACTAGAAAAACATTTCATAATAATGAAACTCATGAAAATTGGCAAAGCAACGAAATTATTTCTGTCGGTGATGCTCAGGCAAATCAATACAGAAATCAGAATAATTAAAATTTATAATAATTTCCGTGAAGTAGTCAGTTAACTTCCTTCATAATCACTTAAGAATTATAACAAATGTGTACATTCATTCAAGAGATTCAATTTAATATCAATAAAGCAAAAAATGCACATTTTTTCTAGTCACTCAACAAGCACTTTCCAGCCTTTCTGACCAAAACAGACGGCAAAATATACTTTCAGTTCAGGGCTACTAACTTTCCAGTCATAAGTCACTGTTTTATTGTTACTATCAATATTAACACGAATCTTGTTATCACGTATATGTTCACAAGTAAAGCAAACTTTGGATCCTTTCTCTAATGGTGGCAGCTTTGTAGTTTTTTCAATACCATCCACAAAAACACAACCTAAAACATTAAAATATCAAAAATTAAAATGTTATTTACCAAAAAATACTAAATTGTTACATTGACATAATAAAACCAGTAAAAGAGAAAGCCACTCTTTACAGACAAATTTGGTTACGAATTGAGACACTGCTATCCATTAAGAACAATCTAAACAAGAGAATTGTGTCAAAAGACAGCATGTGTGCTCTTCTCCAAAGAAAAGGTTTCCTGCTTTTATGAATTTGAATTTCTATGAATAGGTGTCACCAAGAGAAATATGAAATAACATGGCCATTATCACAAATAAAGGACTTGGTTGAAGTTTATAATCTGAGCCAACAGTCAAGCAACCAAGTCCTTTATTTTCTCTATAATTGTGTGATTTTATATAATTATGTTAATATCTATTACAATATGAAAAATTTGTCACAAAAGAATCCTCAAATATAAATTCTTGACAAACTGATAACAGTTAAATCAAAAATAATTTTAGGAAGAGTAGTTATATTCAGTGGCTTGTGGCTAGCTTGTGGCCGGCATGCTCGCCTTCCACTCTGCGGCCCGGGTTTGCTTCCCAGTCGAGCCAAGACTATAGTGTGCATTTTCCTTGCAATGTCCCAGTGTATGTTGCTGTACGACGATGAGAAAATTCACTGCTCAGGTTGAGAAGACTGGAATATGGCCTGGGGATTTCTACATGCCAACAACACGTAGCCCTTTAAACCATGACCACAAGGCAGGGACATCACTGGTAGGCCTAAGCCCATTCACGGGCTGTCGTTGCCAAGTACATACATATATACAGTTATATCCAAAGACCAGATTTAAAGGGAATATCTTCCTCATCCAACCCAATAATAAAGTCTGTCTTCCTTTGTTTCTGTCTTATTCATCATTTTCTTGTACTGATAATTCTTGTACAAATGGCAATTTATATAATTACAAAACCTCATTACCATCAAATTTCATTCAAGTGGTATCACGCTTCCACTATTTAATCACACTGTTGTGGATTTTAAAACCTGCTCTAGGAAAACAAAATTTCAGAAAAGGCTAGGCAACAAAAATGTGTCTCAGAATTGGAAATAGAAGTATCCAATCCAAGTACCTGAACTAGCATGCCATTATTAGTAACAAAATTAAACAAAACACAGAATGCTTCTACTGTTTCAGCATTATTGCAGTAACTGAAAATGTTAAATAAGATCATATGAAGATCCCTTGAAGTATAAAAAATGTGTTGAGGGAGGGGAGGAGAGTATGAGACGAAATATCACAATCGGTCTGTGACCCCATTTGGTATGGTAGTGTTCTGGAGTTTCAACTGGTATTGACAAGAGAAACTGCAGAAAACTATTGATCAAAAGAGCCAGTCACTAGAATTTTCCTCTGGAGTGGTGGATTTGTCCCAACAACATAGCTTTAGTTGAAAGCTACCATCGTTGGGACTCAAATCCTTGAACCTTACACAGTGAGTGGGGAAGAATGACAAAATTACTAGGTTTGTGGAGATAAACTGCAGTCAAGAAACATTTCATCCATGGAAAAACTGCCAGTCATCAAGAAAAATATCATTATACACAAATGATCATCTTGTAATAAAACAGTTTCCCTTTAAGGGAAGTGATAATTTAGTTGACTTATGGTGGTCATACTTTGTTTCACATTGATGGTCATTGAAATTCCATTGTTTCAAGAACTGAACAAGGCCTTGCACCAGCAAAGTGACCTACAGTCTTTAGATATCCATCATGCCAAAAATAATTTTCATGTTCTGAAATAGTTTTGAAGTCCAGAAGCTCAACATTAATTCTGAACATTGTTGGTTATTATCACGAAGGCAGATTATGATGAGACGAATGAGAGATGAGGCAGTAGCGGACTCTAAGTTTTTGCAAATCAGGGTAGCCTAATTTCCTGGAACCAATTTCCCTGACTTCTCAGTTTCTCAGAGTTGTTGTTGTTGGGTAGTTTTTTTTTTAACTTTCACACTTCTTAAAAAAATTAAAACTATCCTGATACTAACTGATCAGTCATCTGATTTCACCATGATGTAGTAGAAACAAACAATATTTTCTCACCAAATAAAAAAGTTTACCAAAAAAATAACTATGTTCCAAAACATACTATCTTGTTTAACACACACTAAATTTCCCTGACATCTAGAGATTATTTTACAAATTCCCTGACTGTTCCACAATAATGAAATCTCCTGATTTTGCATTGTTTTCCAGAAAGTGGCAACCTTGCAAGTATTGTTTGTGTCTTGTTGTAGCAATATATTTTTATATAATTGTTTTACTCATTAACACGTCCATGAAACACTTGCTCATAATTATTTAAAATTAGGCACTGAATAATGAATACTACATAAACTTTAGAAATCTATTTTCACAGAATTATTGAAACTGGTCTTGAATTATTATTCTTGTTATCCTTCAGATGTAGTTTATTTTACTCTACCTTTGCTTTGCAAAGCAGTAGAAATATCCAATATAATAATCTCTAAAGCATGAAAAAAAATTAACTTCAACCTTTTTGGGTATTTTACCTTGAGAATTCAGAAATAGAGCTCCAGGCTGCAACAAATTCTCTCCTTCAATTCTCACATCCACCAGGCCAAGTCCCTCATCACTACAGCCAACACCACATTCCAGTATCTGTTAAGTACAAGAATGTGTATGTATCATGAAAACTCTGGAATAATTAATTTCTACAAAGGTATTTTAGGACTTCTTTACTCACAGTAAATTCAATAGAATGTCCAGGTCCAAATTGTTCATTATGTGAAAACAGAACTGACTGATCTGCAGTTACTTTGGTTGCTAATTTATTCTCATTAGTTATGGCATAATTTGGATTCTTCTGATCCCAACCTGTTAAAAATACATCACAATGGAAAGATATTGAACAAAATATGCATTTAGCAATTAAAAATACACATAACTAACAGAAGTACCTCACAATGAGTGGGCATTGATCACAATAATTTATTAGGTAGGGAAAGGAATGAAATTTTATCTCCAGCCTGGACTGCTAGGCGATACACTACTCCACTCCAACCTAACCCACCCTACCCTGTCATGCCATGTTCATTATGATCACTGCTATACTATCACCATTATTTCTCCATCCAGCTGTAAACCAATACATTATTGCATATTCCCATCAATCTTCCAGTAACAATTTTTATCTTCAATTTCTCTAAGCCTAATGCCACTATTAGAATGAATCAAATAGCACTTCATAGAAAATGTTGAGCTTTCAGAAACATTCAAATCATTTTACTTCATTTCCTCATCTTTTTTGATATATTAGTGAAATATTGAAAGAAAGCTTTTTCAATTTTTCTGTAGGTATAATAATCAGTTATGGGGTATATTTTACAAAATTTCATTATGCAATCAGTTTTCTCTTGTTTTGAAGATTAAGTGTATGCAACGTTCATTAAGATCGGAAAACAACTGTAGATTTATGTACAAAAATAAACCCAAACATTCTTCATTGTACAATAGAAAATAATAATTTGAAAAAAGAGTATCCCAAATTATACCCCACAGTCTACCTTACAGTGAAAACACCATCAAATTCAGTTAAGCCATTCCTGAGATTAGCAGACAGACGGACAAATATTGCAAAAATAATAATTCAATGGGTTTTAAAATAATCTTAAAAAAATAATCATACGACAAAATAAAAACATGCCTTTTGAAATCACTGACACACCCAATATTATAGAGAATAGAATATGTACTTACAAAAGGGTTCCTGATTTGAAGAAGCAACATGGGGAAGAGACCAGGCACTCCACTCCGAATCTCCTTCTACTCGACAACACACTCGAAAAGTGTAAGGCTCCCCTTGCCGTAAGTCTCTGACAAGGTGCTGTGTCTCAGGACCTTGATACACGTCGTGAAAATTACTTTCAAGAAGAGAGTTCCGACTGGCCATATCTCCATATGCCATTTGCAAGCGAAAACTGCTTACATCTACAACTCTTTCCATATCAACCTAAAAAAATAATTCAAAAATGTTATCTTCCCAAGTTTCCTTCATCACATAGCTTAATGCAGTGGGGAAGCTCAGTGGGGGCAGCAAAATTTTAAACGAAGCACAGAATCATTCATTATTTTGTGATGACGTCTTTAAATAAATATATAATAATGACATCTTGCTCATTGTAGCGACTGATACACAGTCTATACTGACTTGTAGAGACTTGTGTTTATGACTAATATTCGGTGAGAATGACTTCTATCATAAAAAGAATAGTATTCAATATTATATAATAACACCTGCAAATTAGATTACAGTACCGGTAAGTCCCTTCAAGAAAGATGGTGAGTGACATTTTGACAATTCAAAGAAAGTTTCATTGATGGATTGTCAGACATCCAATTCACATTAACCAAATTGTATTTAAGTATGCACTTTAAATTGTGATTTTAGAGCTCATAAGAACATATAGTGATTGTTAAATTATTGAAGTTTGTTGAAAATTATATTGTTTGTGTACGCATACATTTCACTATGTATTCAATATTCTATATAAGTTTTTTATTTATTTAATTGTATGTTTGTCTATCTCCTACGTTGTTTAAGCTTGTATAATTTGGACCCTAAAATTGAAATACCAAGTAGGGGGAGGGCGGAATTTTCTCTACCTCAATAGTTGACACCCAAGCTACGCCACTGACTTAATGCCAATTTATGCTGTTTCTTAGAATTATCTATTTTCACTGCAAAAATAAACTCTATGCATAATGTTCCCTCCCAGTCATGATTTTAGAAAACTATTAATAAAAAGAAAACAGCATTAGGAAAAATAGGACATTTTTGTAGATCAGATATGATACAATCTTTGCAGATGGACACTAATCAGCCATAAAGCCCATTTTAAATAGTGAAACAACAAAAATTCAGTTCCCTGTTTTGTCAAAACTGAAACTGATTTTAAATTATACCAATATTAAACCTACCAATACGTAGAACACTTTTGAAATAATTCATTACAATGAGATACAACAAACACACTAAATTGGGTTGTAATTTTTATTATTAATACCACCGTATTTACCCAATATACGACAAGGTTTTTTCCTTAAATATCTCAGATGAAAAATGCTGGGTCATCTTATAGTCACAGATTAAGCCTAGTCGATTGGGGCTTATGCTTTTACAGCGCCTTTCCACATCAATAACTCATAAATGTTGACGTAAAAATTAACCGCAAAGGCGGTAGAAATATTGGCTGTATCTGCAATACGTTATTACAAAACTGAAAAAAATTATTGCATCACTTGATTTTCAGAAACATCCTCTGCAATCAAAGTGTAACTGCCAGGGGAAATTTCCTTTGCCCTCAAAGTTATGGTAGCACTCATGGTTATTTTTGTTAAACAAAGGACTGTCACATTGGGAAATAATTTGTAAATTGAGTTCAAGCTCACTGTTGTCCCCATTGATTCCAGAGGCATGAAGTGAATAGTTACACAAAATGGAAAAGTGTTTAATGGAAAAAAGTGTCATCATTTCTCTAATATCTGAGAGAAGTCTACAAGATATACAGCTAAGAAAATAGGTTTTAATCCATCTACAATGAGCAGGCTATTGAAGAAACACCAGGAAAACGGACCTGTGGACAGAAGAGAAGGGAAGAGGACGTAAGAGCAACAGTGACAAGCTACAGTGAAAAAGAGACAATACTGAAACAAATGTGCTTGAGGAACAGGCGTATGACCTCATGTGAACATGTATGTGAATGGGAAGAGTAAGCTAGTATTGTACTTTGTAGCACAAGAAAACCATAAGAACCAAGCCTTTACTGACTAAAAAGATGAGACAGGCTTGATTCAAATAGGCAATAGGCAAAAGGTGGAATGGACTGAAGAAATGTGGGCACGAGTAATGTTCTCAGGTGAGTCAAAATTCAATCTGTATGGAAATGTTGTCAGGATCTTTGTTCGTTGTTGAAGTGGTGAAGAATTTTTCTCTGAATGAGTGGAATCTAAAGTTAAGTTTCCTCAAAGTCAGATGATCCGGGGGCATGTATCTTCAAAAGGAGCAGGTGCACTGCATATGGTGCAATGGACAGGACATTTTGAAGTTTATATTGACATTTTGCCAAACAAACTATTTCATCAATTTCCGAACATTTTCGATCAGCAAAGTACATCTTTCAGTTTGATTTAGCACCTTGCTATAAAGCTAAAAAGGTACAAATGTTTCTATGAAAACATCAAATAAAAACTTAAGACTGGCCAGGACTTACATTCAGCCAAAGACTTAAATTCAATTGAGAATTGCTGGAAATTAATTGGAAATTCAGTTTCCCGAAAGAAACCCAGAAACAAAGTGGAGCTTCAACAAACTGTTCATAGTGTATGATTCAACCAAATTTCAGAACAAACTATTAAAGATTTAATATTTTCAATGCCCAATTTTTAAATTTTTTTTTTCCCCTGCCAAAATGTCTCGGTTCATTTATTTTGTTTGACGATATCATTATTTATAGTTGTAATTTCATGAACATTTAATTATAATGTAAATTTGTAATAAAATCATTGATTACGTGATCTAATGTCAGTGTTCTTAAAAATGCAGTATTCAAACCTAAAATTAAAACCTTAAAAATAAATAATAATACTTTTGAAAATAAAATATTTTTTATTTTATGATATGTTCACTACTTAATTGCATTAATCTGTAACCTATTCAATCGCATGATTCGGAATTTTATGGAAATAAACATCAGAAAATGAAAATTTCACAGGTGATGTAATAAGTTCTTGCAGTAGTTTATATTACCAGTTGAATTCTTGGCGCCTACCGTGAATTTTTCAGGCAATTTTGACCGTTATGAGCTGAGGAGAACAACTGTCTTGAGAGAACCTCAAACGAATGACATTGTATCAAGTGAATCGTAATGTGAAAATGAATACACAAATTGTTACAGGATGCAGATTCAAGGAGGCGGAAATTTAAATAATAAAAATATCCCCTTAAAATAGGCACCCTTTTACCTGAGATTGCCTGCATTGCAGGCCTGAACGTTCAATATATTTTCTTAGAAATATATAGCAATATATCTTCTTAGCAAAAACTTCTCAACCTTGGGAAGTTTCTGCTGTCTCCCACTTTACCCATGAAATGAAAGGGCAGATGTGCGAGTTTACAGTTTACAACTCGATTAGATGAACAGTAAACAAGACTAATTTCAAATTCATTCTGTTAAAGAATGTGAAAGAAGTGTTCAAAAACAGAAGCCACCAACACGAGCCAAGCAGATAGAAAATCTGGTGACACAGAAGAGGTTAGTTAAAAATTCTCAGGATGTCTCTTTTAATTTATTGTCTTATACTCAAATCCAACTTATATTAGGGTAAATAAAGTTTTAAATTTTTGAGGAATGACAGCTTACATCTCCTTCAGATTGAGCTTAATGAAAACATAAATGGCGGATCAGTAAATAAATTTGACTACTTGTAGAATGTTGTTGAGATAATTTGTGTTTTTAAAGTTATTAATTCAATGTAAAAAGTTTAGCAACTGAGACTGAAAATACATACTTCCTCCCAGTGCACAAGGAGTGCTCCTGGTTTTTCTTCCACAAGCATGACCTGAACAGGTCCCATTTTTGACACACGACCCGCACTAAGAAATCTTTGTCTTAATTCTTCTTGCAGAGGTTCTACTGCAATACTAAATGATATGTCAGGAACTTCTTCTGGTTGTGGCACTGCAGGCAGACTGCAACATTCACATAAAGATTTTATTACCTAGTCTATGACCATAGAACAACAATGACTTAACATGACTGGGTTGACAGACAACCCTTAGACATATCTTACCGTTTTAAAAATACACACGTATCGCAAAAATAAAATCTTAACTACTTGGACCTGGAATGTCTCTTTGGGTACTCACCTGCCCAGGAATACCGACTGTTCACTAAACTCTGCAAAACAATTCAGGCCAGAGGACTGAGAAGCTTCCTTGTCAAGAAGCTCTTCACCTTCCTTAATATAGTCTTTTGTCTCTGATATCTTACTACGAATAATTTTTTCACAGTCTATTAAAGGTTGCAGTCCATCTTTACGTATTCTTTCTACTTCCTCTTTTAAAGTCTTCTTTCTCCTGTTTAAGGAATCCACTAAAGTCCTTGACAATACATCGAATGAATGGTCGATATCTGCATCAGCTTTCAGAGCGCTGTTTAGTATCTACAAAATGCAATGTCCTTATAATTTACAAATAATTCGCTTAAATTTCCATGTGTATCAATTTATATTATACATATTGAATTTTATTTTTCTCGTATTATTTTCAATACATCACACAGCTAGAGAAATCACTGTTAAATATATTAAATATATACACTGGTGCTGAATTATCTATTAATCATGCAACACAATTCTTACTCTACAAACAAATTACATCTACAACTAAAAAATAAATATTTTTAAAAACAATGAATAGAATGCTAGGTAGGAAAGATTAAGGCACTAAGACAAAAATATACATTTAAAAACACAAAACCAATTTTATTTGCATTATTGTAGGTTTACAAGTGACAGTCAGCTCACTCAATAATAGAATGAGAAGGTACAATAATATTCTGACTTCTTACTGTCATTCTCTTAATGAACACTGCAACTGTCAAAAGAAAATAGCAAAGCAAAATACTCAAGCATGTTATTAAGTTACAAACTTTACCTGCTTTAAGAACTGTATTGAGAACAGAATAAATCATTCCACACTTATCAGAACGACCAAACGGAGGTTAATATTTTAAAACAAACTGTTGCAAAGCAAACAGCAGTTAGTTTAGAGGAAATTCTGTCAAATGAGAGCAAACACCCACTTCCAGACTTTTTACAATTTCTCAGGATACTATTTGGGGCTATGTCGCAGAACAGATTTCTGTACGTAGTTTACATACCTGTTCTTTCGCCTTTTCAACAGCAATTGTAAGATCTTCTAACTTTGAAGCATACTTCTTTGCTTCATCTATAGATTCTAATATTGCACTCTTGCTCACAGAAAATTCTTCCATAATGATAGCATGCGTAAGAATAGCTTTAGATCACAGAAGAGGTTTTCTCAGATTTAAATACTTGTGCAAAATAGAGTATCAACTGCCTAAGGAAAACTGGAGACCCACCGGCCACGCCTCATGCCACGAACAAGCAGATTCAAGCATGCTATACAACCATCATGGTACCTATATCATACCTACGATAATGTAACACGATTTGAAACACAGTGATAATATTAACTCCTTTTTACTTCACCACGAAACATAACAAATCTCTAACAAAACTCAGATCTGTACACCCTTAACCATGAGTCGCCATGACAAATCTTTACGACGCTCCATGAATGCCAAACCAACGACAAGAAAACACAACACATAACGGAAGTGTTGGCAACGAAATGAACAAATGACTTCCAAATGCAATCCACTCTAAAATTCCTTAGTCCGACCCCGAATCGACATCAGCCAACAGCAAGTAGTTTTTCTTCAGTAAAACTCAAAAGGAATTTTATGAAGGAACATACACAAAGTACTTTCACTTTCCCCATTGGAAATAAAGAGATCGGAGATTTGCATGGTTAAAATAAGAATACTCATTAAGAAATGTTGCACGTTGTCAACGCGTCGCACGTATGAGATATGGATAAAAGTTCCAAAACAACGAAGAAAAACAAAAACAAATTATTAGTGAAAAACCATCTTATTACAGTATTTCTTTCTCATTTAGCTGACATTCTAAATTAATTAAAAGTTCACGAAAAACAATTGGATTAAGGTTCTTCCCTAGCTGTCGCAGAAAGAACCAGTCCCCATAACTTACATTCTTGACTAAAGCGCTTAACTTCCCTCGAGGCATAAATCTCACTTGGGCCATCAACAGGTAAATGCGAACAGTAGTGCTCAACATTACCACCATTCGATACATGATGGCCATCGTCGATAATCCAGTCAGGAAAACATACCAAAACCACAGCACTAGGAAAATCTTCTCGTTCACCACGTTGAGGGAAAGTACGCACAGAGAGTCCAGGACTTGGATGGTGCCGCTGGGACCGTAGTAATGGAACAAGCATTTGGTCACTTTGGGAAATACTCGATTCATGGGATCCATGATCTTGTCTCTAGACACGAAGACAGCTGGACCGTAGGTTGAAAAGGACCCGCCCAAAAAGACATCCAAAAAATAGATTTGGACTACCTAAAACAAACAAGAATTGTATTGAATAATTATGAACATATCTATGACATATCTGTTATTTGGAGATAATCTTATTTTAATAAATACTCCTGACTTAAAGGTTATCTAGAGATATATCTATAAAATAAGACCATTTTATTCTATAAACACACCACAGTAACCAAGAATGCTAAGACTGTCCCCTTCACAGATTCCGGCTATTTTGTCACCTGGACCCTGAAAACGAATTTTACTGTCGTAATCACAACCTCAAATTTTTGCACCTATTCAAATTCTGTCCCTTTATACCATTGTGATAAGCCAAGAAACGCGCAATAAATTGCGCGAATATGACCAACTTAAGGTCATTACATTATAAATCATTGATGGTCGTAAGCTTCTTATGTATCCAGTAGGAGGAGGTTGCCCTGCTTACGGATTTTAAATAAACAATATGGGTGTAAAAGTGTTCTCGCTTCAGATCACAGATTGGAAAAGATGTTCTTTCTGGTCCACAGATACTATATAGAAGAGAAACGTTTCATTACAAGTGAAACACATCTTTCAGTTTTGACTTATTTGTTTTTTCTGCTTTGAGTTACATTGAACTTTTGTCTGGATGTATCAGCTATGTTATAACATCGTCGTTGACATAGTGCGAGGGCTGTTCAAAAAATTTGATAATAGGGACCCTGAGTGAAAATGTGTGGCGAATGGTGGGAGCACCGAATACCATCGTGTAACCTATTCGCTTAGCCTACAATACCGTTAGTTTCAAGTTCACCGGTGTAATGAGTGAACGTATGTGGCGTTTCACGCAACGGGTGTTAAATATTCGCCTACCATATCCAGCATGGATCAAAAGTTAAGAGCAATATTGTAACGTGAAATGTTTGGTGAAACTCGGGAAGAACCGAAAAGATACATTCGAATTATTGACTAGGGTGTACGGTGAAGACGTTATGAACCAGGCGACCTCCTAGAAGTGGTATAAAGCGTTCGAGAACGGACAGAGAGCATCGCCGATGAGCCTCGGGAGGGGTGGTCTTCAACGCCGCGCACCGAGGTTCTACAGAATACAGCTACCGCTATCATTCGCGCGGATCGATTAATAACTATTAGAGAGCTTGCCGCAGTCTTAGACATTTCAATCGGCAGGATGCACGATGATTTGGCCATGCGACGCATATCATGCAGATGAATTGAATTGATGTTTTATTTTACGTGGCGAGATTCAGGCCATGAGGCCTGCTCTTCCGTCTGACCACGTAAATTTCGCTACGCTCCTTTCACCAACTAGCAGAGACATGAGGTTCCTTTGGCGAGAAACAGGCGATTTGAATTTTGCTCAGAGGCGTCATTTAGGCTTGAGGATCTTTTACATGCAAGTAAATCTACTAACATGTGCCAGCCGGCTTTATTTCCCCTCCGAAGGAATGCGTACGAAGAATTTTTTTCGCCCTTAAAAATCCATGGCTGCGATCGGGTTACACCCGCAAACTTGGGTAAACAGTCCGATACGCTAACCGTTACACCATCATCGCAGATAGGTGCCGCGCAACGAGCTAGTAGTATATTATACGAATATGGAGTATTCTAGCTCGTTGATGCCGCGCATCATGACAACACGACGCCGCATGTCGCTCACACTGGAGTGGATTTCTTGAACTCACGAGGCATCCACCGTACAGTCAAGATTTGGCTCCCTGCGACTTCTGGCTGTTCCTTGAACTCAAGTTTTCGCTCAGAGGTCGGAAATTCAAAGACAATCACGAAGTCATCAAAGCTGTGGAGGCGCGCTGCAAGGAGATTGGGAAAGATGACCTGGCGTTCGTGTTCATAAAGATGCAAGAACGATAGTAAAAGTATACTATTAGTACTAAGGGAGGTTGCTTAGAAAAAGTGCGTGTAAATTTGGAAGATTGAATTTATTCTTCTTCTGTAGAGCGTTTTATCATTACTTTTTGAACAGCCTTCGTTGATGTATCCAGTCTAAAGTTCAATATAATACAGAGCAGAAAAAACAAGTCAAAACTGAAAGATTTTGACTTAATGAAATTCACTTGCAACGGGGCGATACCCTATTCAAAGACATATTGCAGACTAAAAACATTATTCATATCACATAACGTTATTACACTGTGGATGTACTGTGCATCTGTGTTCTAATTACAGACCCCGAACCGGAAGACTCCCAAAAATTTACATGTTCAGTCTTCGTCACTTGAGGGTTTAACATAGCAGATCTTGCGTTGATAGTAGTATCAGGGACATTATACTCTTAAATTTCATGATAGTAATAATATCGTGATTTTAATTTGAGAACTGCTCATGAATTTTAGATGTACAAACGGTTTTATGTAAGTATGTATTCAAGTAGTCACCAATAGCAGATTCACGGGAAATATAATTTTAGTCTTGAGGCGTATGATATAGGATTTAGTACGTTTTGTTAGCAAGGACATAATGGAATTATTTCATTCATGCTAAGAAAAGTAATCGGGTTGTGGCACCCATCCGTGGTGATCGTATAGGAAAGTACAAATTGATCGGAATATTTAATTCAATTATTGTTCAACAGAATAGTTATATGTTACTATTGTTATAATAATTCGTATTAGTAATTTCATGCATGGGATGCATTAGAAAATATTAGGAAAATCTGGGTAGGGCTATTTAAAGAAGAAAACCGTGAAAGTCCGGGACATTCGCCACATCGGAACGAGATCACCCGAGAAATGCGAAGACATTTTCTATGAGCGAAAAGGCTGTTTTTTCTCAATACGAAGTAAAAAAATCTTAAGTAATTCAAAATAATAATTTAGCTTAAATGGCGCGAATAACCCAGTTGTTGTTGAATATGTCACGAATCAGCTCATTGAGCTCAAGTGTTAGTTGATATGGATGAAATATATGTTATACTCTTTTCCCCATAATAAGGCTAACCATTTAGTAAAGATATTACTATCAATAAAAGTGTATTTATTGAAAATAAATCTCCAGAAATGGTCGATTCGACAAATGAATAGCATATGGCAAAGTAAATACATTTAGTCACTGCTTGATTTTTAAAATTTTATGTTCCCAAATTAATTTTTAATTCAATAGAAATAGTTATATATTTATAATATAATCCAACAATTATTCCCGGGGTAACGGAACGCTGTTTCGTCGCGTTCGCCAGAATCAAGCCTTGCATTGGCATACGACAACGTAAATGGTAAGTAGTCGTGTGTCGAAACCAGAGCTGTGGCTAGGGTCATGAGCGCCTCTGGCGGGATCTAATTTTTGCACCCCAAGACTTGTTTTCTAGGAAGAGAAACAACGCAATAACTTTGAAAGGGTAATTTATAATTACGTCATGGGTAGATTTAAGCATACAATTAGTTCTTACTAATATGTATTGCATTGCATTTGCTGCTGTTATTGAATGCCTGATAGAGTTTCTGGCATAATATGTATGAAGGAAAACAATGCAATTAGAGTTCGTTCATTTAGGTATTACAGTATCTCTTAAAAGTTTACTTTGCTGGCTTTTGTTGAAGCCAAATTGTCAATAATAATGGTCTACATTAATACTTTTTGCAATGTCTTACTCAACCGGCAATATAGCAAGATAACTCAAAAGCCCTTGACCAATCTGCGATTGTAAATATTTTTTTATTAATTTCATTATGCTGAAAGATCCTTCATAGCTGGCAGAAGTCACGGGTAGCGTCAACGTTAGGCAAACTGCAATGCCTATATTGAGATAACTGGTTACTAAGCCATATTCTTCATGGCAATTGAGAAGTGCAATGTAATCTGCATTTTTTAAATTAGGCAATAATGACTTTTATTGGGTGCTAGTAGCTTTCAATTTCTAAACACAACTCGTTGGTATTTAAATCATCTTTATGTTTTAATGCTAGATCAGCTTCGAATTTCTATAGTTCAGGGGAGGTTTTGTGTTACGAAGTCCTGTAAGGAAACCAAAATCGGAAGCCACGGCAGCTAAACTTTCAAATCTCCATCCCATTTGCCGAATCACTGTGTCTAGTGCTCAGTAAAGCTGAATTTTAAACTTTTGACGTAAAGTCATTATGGCCACATCATTCTTGGCCCTATCGTCACACATTGTTCTTTTTCGTTTATGCTTTTCCGAAAATCACGGTTAGATCGATAGCTTGTTAACTATATTATTTTCTGAATCAATACCCTGCTCTCGTTGTTTTTTTCTAAAATAATTCAAAAATTCACAAGGTCCAGCAAATGTTTTGATGCAACCTCGGTGGAAACGGGTTTTCTCTGTAGATTGAGGCGAATAAGGTGTCATTTCTTCTACAAATAAGATCCTGTACGACCAAGTGCCGAAATAGCTAGAGTGCAGTTTTAAATCGGTGTTATGATGAGTATGTAAATTTTGGCAGAGAAGTTATTAAAAATCATTTTTGAGATATGAAAATGAAAGTATTCGATTTGGATTTTATTTCCGCCCGTCAACTCGATCACAGTGTCGACATTGCCTCGGTAATAACCTCCACAATTGTGACAACGTCTTATGGATGTAAGTATTCATTTTATTTAAATGTACGTTACTATCGACTTTTTTGTCCTAATTGAAATTAAATCTTAGAAATTATAAATACTAATAGTTCCAATGTTATTAAATATTAGTTTTTCTTAAAACATTTTGATAACAAATTTAATAAAATAATGATTTATGATGTTTTAATTTTGTGTCCCTATGGCCCAGCGGCCCGTAGGCAGTGGGTCTGCAAAGTGCGCCCCCCCCCCCCGAGGTTGCGCCGCTGGCAGCCGCCCACCTGCCAGCTCCTACCCTAGCACGTTGGTCGAAACCCAGGGACACTAACGTCCTTATCTTCAACGATAGTTAAATGCTAGCCGGCATAATAGCAATAATTGGGATAAGAAATAATTATTACATTACTTATTTTACGTATGAGCAAAGCAAAGAATATTACGAAATTATATTATCATGGATAATGCGAATATATGAAAGTGGTTTACCAATCACTGAAAATGAAAGAATAAATAATATAAGTTATATTGACCAAATTGAAATTATATTATGCAATGTACAGATGAAGAAAAAATGAAGTAAATTGTATCCATATTTTGCAAAGGTACGAATTCAGACAGTTGTGTTACAACTTGATGATGATGATGATAATAATAATAATAATAATAATAATAATAATAATAATAATAATAATAATAATAAAAATAAAAATAGTCGATCCGATGACCGAGATCGCTAAGGCAGTAGTGCCGTAGCGGTCTCGGACCAGACGATTGGACTTTCGAGTCCCGCCTCGGACATGGTTGTGTTGTGTGTGTCTCTGCTTGTGTGCGTTTATTTCAGCATTCATCATCAACATCACAATTTAACCCTACCCCTACGGCTAACTACCCTGGGGTGTAAAAATTGAATCAGCGTTAAAATGCTGATTCCCCCAATAGAAAGTAACGTGCACCTACCCCGATATTCAAGAGCTTCGGTAGGATACACGTATTGCGAGGCCCCACGATGATTCGCGAAACAACAACAACAACAATAATAATAATAATAATAATAATAATAATAATAATAATAATAATAATAATAATAATAATAAGACTGTTACTGAGAACGCACCACGTTGACGAGATTGAGCAGCTCACAGGTGGCGAAGCGTATGGCATAGAAGTTGTGCGTGAGGCCGCGCGCCTGCAGCAGGTATGACGTCAGCACCTTCTTGCGTTCCTCGCTCCACGCGCTGCTGCCCACCAGTGGCTCCCCTAGACACCAACACCGCCTCACATTCACTTGCACCAAAACGAGCCAATATCAAAATTCTTTCCCTCGCAGTCTAGTCAATTGGTGCTCAAAAGGGCCCGATCCAGAAAAAGAAAATCCGGAAGGTTTTTTTTTCTCAACAGTTCTATATTTTGTAACTTTTCCCCCCTCTCAGGTCAGAGGCTCAAAAAGCATCAGTTTTCAGCGCGCTCTAGCGCGTAAACCGTTTTTTGGAAATTTAAAGTGAATGTATGCATTTTGTAGGAAATTGTATCTACTTTAATTTTGTAAATAACAACTGTTTCGATAAAATTTTGTTTTGATGATCAAGCAGTTTTGATGATATAAGCGAAAATCTTTTAAAAGGGCAAAATTTTAAGTTTCTTTTGCAAGTTTCGCCGTGAAACTGACCTTTTTTGAGGTGGTAAACATCAAATTCGAATTCAGCATCCTCAACAACATACAGAACCGTTGAGAAAAAAACTTCCGGAATTTTTGCCTGTGTCTGATACCATTTAACTGGCTTATCAACGCAGCCCACGAACGAATGCACTGATGCTGCGAGATAGGAGAATAACAGGCTTTGGGTATAAAATCTGCTGGATATTAAGCGTTGCGCAAGGTTGTTTTCTGTTAATCGTGGGAGCCGAAAGTCGCAGTCTTGTCATCAATTTGGACACAAGTAGTGAAGCACCAATTGAGCCATAAAAGTAATAGTAGCAATAGCGGCAGCATTACACCGACTTTGAAACTGCTCGAGCAGTTGATACATCTGAAAGATTTCGCACTCACAGAGAATTAATTTGCAATTGGTTATTTCGTTTTTTCAGCGAGTAGTAGTGCGAGTACGATGAGGGATAAGAATCCAGCAAATAATTACTTGGAAGGAGAGAAAATTTACGTTCAATGCTTAGAAACTAAACAAGATACATCTGAGTACTTTTTTATCGAAAGAACAGGGAAACTGGACAAAAGTTCCCGATCAAGACGAGTCATTGACAAAATATCGCAACACATCAACATTATCAGTATCTTAATCACAATGACTATTCCATTTATGAAATTTCAGTCAATCGCAAACAAGGTTTGAGACCATACTAGCCGATCAGAGACGACTTATCCATGCAATATTATCAGTACAAAATTATATCCTAAAATGTTATCACTTCTGCACTTTGTGTTCAAACAGAACTTATATAACTCCACTGTCTTTGTGTTATATTAATTTTATTTCGTTGTCTTATGTTAACTTTTCTGTTTGACGTAATATCAAAATTAATTATATGCCACGACAATACCGAGCATCAAAAGGAAAGTAATATTAATTTTAATAATGATTTTGAAAATATTAATGGACATTTCGAGTGTATAATTCTAAAAAAAACTGTAACAAGTATAGTATTAGTCGCGCAACATTTCTTGAACCATGACCTTGCTTCCCCTTTCTTGGCACCACAAAGAGTTGAAGGCAAAGGCTTGCAACGGGTACTGAAGACAACAGTCCAAACACATCTTCACTGGCGCGAAAAAGAAACTATTTTCTGTTCTAGAGGAGAAATTCGGTCCGTGTCCCCCAAAAATTCCCCCCGTTTTCCCCAAAAATTAAAGAAATGACCGAAGCAGGTCAAGATTCATTATAGGAGTTACCTCGAGCTCCTGAGAAAGAACGCAGATAATTGAGAAGGCATGACTGATTCTCCAGAGATTGGCATTGCTTCATACAATCTAGTGGCCGATATCGTAACTAATACCACCACTCTACTCACCACTCTAACTAATACCCCACTCAACCTCATTTCTCCAATCCATCGTTCAAGAAAAGTTGCGCGAGTAATGCCTTAGCTTCTGGGTCAGTGACCTCCCTCTCGGTCTGGTTTTTCGTTCAGTCTCTGGTCCTTCGAAGCGAATGCTGAGATGGCCCTTTGTTTTGCTTCTGGACATAATGAACCTTCACTATCTCTGCACGTCTTTTAGAGTTCTGTGAGTAATACAGTTATTCAAATTATCGTTCTCCATGTTCTCACGGCAGGAGGTCATCCACGATTCCTTCACAAAGGGCACAAAGACAATTAATAGCCAAACTCTAGAGCTGATTTGACTTTGTAAATAGTTTTTATTACACTGGAGCGAACTTTTCTTACAAATTCTTGCCAAAAATTCTCATTGCAATTGTATTCAGAATTCAACTTGTACATAGGTTAGAGTAGGGAACCCAGAATTTCAGAAATCGTGCACGGAATACACTTCACATAGCAAGCCACGCAGTTTTTAGCATTAAATAAATAAATTAATAAATAAAAGGGAGAAATTGCCACACTCGAGGTCAACTTTCTTTTAGAGGTTTGCTCCCCCATGAAGTGCTGATACGATTTGCTTACCTAAATCTACAGAAAGCATTCTCAGTCGTCCTCCCTCCCAGATCTTCCACAATTGGTGCGGAACGGAGAACAAAATGGCCTGAAAGAAAAGAGTAAAGCACACCCACTGGTAGTACCGATGGTGAATAACTTCGTCTTGGCCTGGTATGTGCTGCGCTACTCCTGGGTGCGACACGTCTCTTCCAATAGTGCCTGAAATCACAGATTAATTATTGAAAGTTTCAATTACCAAAAAAGACAAATATGTAAACTCAAAGAATTTGCACAAGGGCTGAACGAAACAATGATCTAATACCCCAAAATGAAAGAAGAGTTATTGTTACCATTTGTTGTCTTTGAAGGTGAACTATCTTTGAATTTGCTCTAACTCAATGAAATGCTGTCTATGCCATTAGTGTTTTTAGGAATATTGACATTAGTGTTTTTAGGAATATTGGGGATTCCCCCAATCCACTAGTCATTGAACCCCCTCGTCAAACATTGGAGTGTGTCGTCCGTCATTGACAATCTCAGTTTTAGTTGTCCCTCAATGTCCACGGTGAACGTGATTATTCCATTGTATTTTTTAATGTAATTTGTACGTTGACAGTGTACACAATCCTTTACCAAATATTTGTACTCGATCCTTATCAAATAAACTATGGATTACCAGTTTTCGTACACGAGGTAATCTCGGAGGCCAATGTCCTAGTGTACTCGTAAGTATATGTCGTACAAAACAAGATTTGTAAAGAAGTAAAATGTTTCTGTTTTGTGTAAAATATACAAATACCTATTGTTGACAAATGTTGAACAAAACTAAAATTACTTGCGTGCATTGAACATGTCACATCATTTTTATAAGGGAAATAACTAGATACGGGCGTTATCGTAAACAATAACAGAAAGTTTTCAAGCCTGTAACTCAAAAACTATCTACTTTAAGTTTATATAGAACATTATTTTTATAGGGATTGATAATTATGGAGATATATGCAGAAAACGTCGAAAAACCACCTTCAAACGGACATTTCTAAAATTAAGTTGCATCATAAAATGTAATAAAGTCTATTAAGGGATACATATTTAAGAACTTTCAAGTATGGCTTTTATTTTATTAACTATTCAAGACAAGTTAAAGTATTCAATTTCTTTAACGTTCTACATGTTCAAAAGAAATCTCAGATTTAAAAATTGAAATTGAATGGCATTTTCAGAAATATATTCACCATATTGGTCCGCCACTTTTATTTTATAATTTGATAGCAAATTCGAAATTGGATACCCTTAAAACCCATTCGTAAACATTCCTACAATAGTACATTTTGTACACCATCCTATGCCTGCATACATTTCGAACCTCTGTCAAAACGGAAAGAAATAATTATTAAAAATTAGAGTAGCACTATCTGTCATTTACATTTTTTACAAAACTGGGTTATTTTAGATCTTTTATTAAATATTTGTAGCCCGCAACGTTTTGACCGCGTTATTTTAACAGAAGTACACGAGAAATCCACTGCGCACTTTTCAGACCATTTCAGCTCACTGTACGCTGTAGAAGTAGATTGAATGCTTTCATCTGACTTACCTCCTTGGTGGCGAAGTACAGTAAATGTGGAATGAATCCAACAATAACTGTTCACGGCTTTCCTCGAAGGCACTGCATCTTTTCCCAACACGCATTCTATGGGGTCGCCAAAGTACTGTTTGGAGGTGACGAGCAATGAAAACACGACTAGCATAATGGACGTGGCTTTGTAATGCAGCCGGAACACATTGTTATCATGGCACACTCGGTCCAGTTTCAGTAGAACTCGTACCGAACTGAATAAATCGAACATGATAATGTCGACAAGCACTTCTTAACAATGCAGGTTTCAAATAACAGTATTTCACACAATCAAACAATTTAGTGAGAGGTTAGGTCTTCATTACTCAAGTCACAATTCTTGCAAGAATAATGCCCTTTTCTAGTTGAGAACTAAGCAATTTGTTGCATGCTTCAACAGCCGTCGATGTCACAAAACAAATGACTCCAGTATTTTTTATTTTATTGACAATGTTCCGCCAAAAGCTAGAATATTACACAATACCTAAATTAATGAAAAATGTTTCATGTTTTTTGTTTCATGAAACGATAATTGTAGTAATTACCTTGTGTTAATAACCACAGTTTAATATATTATCGATAATAAATATCAATTTCCGATTATCGAAGGGTTTTTGCACATAACTTCACAGTTACACTAGTCAAACGACGGTACATTTAAATCATGGCTTGATATGTTACGGCTCTGGTGAAGTATCTTATTATAAGTAATGAGCCAAATGATCTCTTGGGTATATTTGGATAATCTGATTGTAGATTCATCCATTGGCATTATTGAATAGAGGTTTCTTCGAAATCACAGATATGAAATGAAACCTGCAATTGAAATTGTTTGCAAAACTGAATCGTTGTTATGACAACTATCCGAAATTTCCACGCCCAGAATTACTGTCATACAAAAGTTAATGTTCTTAGTATTTTCTTTTTGTTCGTTGCTGAGAAAACGTGAGATAGTTCGTGGCTTTTTGTTAATATTTTTATGACTAGATTTTTAATATGCTATTAGGGTTTGCTACTTTTTCGGCTCAGGCGGAGATTATCTTCAGATAATGGAGATGTCCAGAAATATGACTATTAGAACTTCTGGGCATATACAACATTGTCGCATCTAGGCGGCAAGTAACGGATGCTGGATGCCGCGAGATAATGGTTAAAAATGTTATATGTGTCAATTTTCTTTTAGACTTGGAGGTCATTCTTCGTTTGAGGTTTTCGCTTGCCTATAATGGTTTAAAAATATTTTTGTTTGGTGTAGGTACACTATCTTAAAGTGAGTTTTTTTCTCTAAAATAAAGTTGTATTTTCACGACAACCAAGTTGTATGTGGTAGAAAACTGGATCAAAAGGGGGTGGGAGAGACAGACACCTTTTTTTAAACTCCCTACAGTTTCCAGAAATCAGGAATGTAAAATTAAAGCACCATCGGAACAAAGTGGATTTCTGCGTTGAAGCTAGAGAAGTTAGATGATTATTTAAAGAATATAGTGGTTACAGGTAACACGATCTTCATAATTCGTAGTTCAAACATCAAAACATTTTTTCTATTATTCTCAGGTGTTTCAACAACAAACGTATGCAGATTTTTCACATTTTTGCAATAATATGAAAAATCCACTAAAAAGGATATAGGTTTTAAACTAAATAAGTTCTCATTTACATGCTTTGCCTCAACGTGTTGCACAAACACAGAATTCAATTCAATTCAGCCCAAAAAACTTCAAAATATTTTTTTTAGTATGATGATAAAAATATGTAATACTTATTTATAGTTTTAAGTATTAATGTATTTATTGTTACCAACACATTGAAAAACTTGTCAGGTTAAATAATCTCAAATTTTGATTATGTTAGTGTTTATGGTTCCTTCACTGAAAAAAAAACATTTTGGGACTGTTTATGAACAATCTAAATTTTCCCAAACATGAATTCTTTAATGTAGAAAATATTACTCTCAATGATAATAATGAATACAATTTTCTAAAATATATTTTATAACGTAAACTCTTAAACAACTTTTCTAAAATAAAATTTAAAAAGCTGACAGTTCCTAAAAATAGACGGTGGGAATCTCTCGTACTCGAATAGCATAGGGGTTCGAAATTCGTTAAGTTGGTATTTTTCACATCCGATACCTTTCATACAGTTCATTTTATTATATAGCACCTTAGCATCCCCGTTAACGTTTTCTTCGAACCATTTTCGAAATGGAAAAGTAGTGACTTGATATATGTCTGCTAAAATCGAGCTTAAGATGATTAGAGCGAGATATTAGTCCCATATTAATAGAGCCCATATTACGTTCAAAAATATTTATTTGCGAGATAAGTGGATATTGTGATACCTGCATAAACAAAATACGGACTCCTATGCTAAGTTTTTTATAATGATTATAAATAATTTTGTTTCATAGAAGGAAAATAAAAATATTTTAATACCACATAGAGATCTACTGTTGACTAGCAGAACCCGTCACCGTAGTGACGTCCTACGATAACATTCAAGCTCCCGATTGGATAAAACTGTTAACATCTGATATCTGCTAGGGGCAGAGTTGGTTAAATCGCAGTAGAGAAATAAAAAATTGAGGCATAGGAACAGAAAAAAACATTATTGTACAATAGTGAAATTTGTAAGAGCAAAATCATAAAGTAACATTATAGACATACATATCTACACATTATTGTACAGTGATAGCCAATAATGGCAAAAATGTGCACGTTTGTGTAAGCTAGGACGAAAAGTTCTATAAATTGGGCAACGCCGTAATGTCCTTGAGATTGGCATGCTGCTCAGGGCACATGCGTCTTCAGTTTCGTTGTTTTGAATCACTTTGAATACTGTTCGTTGTCTGGCCGACAAGCGGGAAAAATCACTATTTGAGCGAATTGGCGAAAGATTTGTTTCCAAAGCGGAATTTGAGAAAACACGAAATAATCCCCCCCCATATACCACGAGAACAGTGACATAATAAAAAGTTTTCAAATATTTTTCAATGCTTGTTACTCTCTAATATTTATTTCTTAAATTACCTGAGCCAGTGGTAGAATAAACCTTAGATTATTCGATTGTTAATATCAATCGTCTTCCAGAATAAAAATACTAGTTATGGAGAATAATCATATTTACCAAACGAACATTATCACTCGTTGCATATCGAGATAAGCAATACTTGAGAAATTATCAGGGAGAAAACTATGGACTATGGTTCACTTATTAAAATCACACAAACTTTCGTAGCTAATAATCACGGACAGGGGTTGATTTAGTTCACAACACAGTCAGCACATGGCGTTTATCAAGATCTATCAACAGTTCTACCGTCATTCCAGTAACTCAATATTTCACTCTTTGAGATAAGTCTGTTTTTTTGTTTTTTAACCTTCATTTTTAGTTTTCATGAAATTTAATAATCTTTGATTTTTTAAATGGAATTTTATATTTTTCTTACCGGCAATGAATAGATCATAAAAAGAGGAATACAATAATATATATCATGAGATATTGTACGAATAAAATTATCATGTTGACAATTGATGTGGACGGAGGTTGCGTTACCGCATATTACTCGAGCAACTTTTCTTGAACGCTGGATTGAAGAAATGCGTGTAGAGTGGGAGTATTAGTTACGAAATCGGCCAGTAGATTTTATGAAGCATGCCATTATCTGGAGAATCAGTCATGGCTTCGCAACGTTCTCAATAATTTGCATTGTAACTTTCTCAGGAGTTCGAGGTAGCTCTTGCGATAGATCTTTACCTGCATCGTTCATTTCTTTAGAGTTTTGGAAAAAATAACGGATAGAAATTCTCACCTCCAAAAGAAAATTGTTTCTATTTCGCGGTAGTGAAGATGTGTTTGGAATGTTGTCATCAGTGATCTCTGCGAGCTTTTGCCTTCAATTGTTTATTGTGACAGAGAGGGGAAGCAAGGTCATCGTACAAGAAAAGTTGCGCGAGTAATACCGCGCGCTCCATCATGTGCTCTCAACACTATCTAGTAGGGATGGGCAAAGTCGGTCTTTTGTGTGAACGGTTCTGTATACAATCGTTCTTTTTAGTGAACTAGTTCCAAAGAACGATGTAGCTCATTTATTTTGGTGATGTAGACAGGGATGCTGTATTGGGCGAAATACCGCCTATTGGGCAAAGCATCGACTTGCGGGAAGAAATGAATTTTGCGGGATTCCGTCCATTGGGCGGAATTCTGGGAGGATTTTAGGCGGAGTGCTTTTTTGATTGCACTTAAATCGTCAATAATACTCACATTTTTCCACAAATTGGACAAGTATTGATGTGTTTGTGCATTCGCACACGTGTTTGAGTTTTGAACACTGTAAATATGCAGCTATTATGAAAATATGTCTGGGCCCGTTTTGTCAGAAAATGGGAATCCATATTTGCATCTTCAATTAATTTCTTAGCATCTCTTACCGAAGACAATTCGTTAGCTGGAGGTTCAATCTTTTCCAGAAGCCAATTAACAATTTCATCAGGACTTCCTGCTCCTGTGTAGGCGCTCCTTTCCGAAAGAATTTTAGAATTGAGTATCCTCTTACTCAATGGTTTTCACGCAACTCTGATTCAATTGTACTGTAAACTTTGACAAGTTTAATTTATGACCCATCATCAGCTAATTTTAGCAGCTTTAGCATACTCAGGAGCCAAAGCTATACAATGGCCACACCAAGGGACATCATTTACGGTCAAGCGTACAATTTTTGTAGTTTAATATAATTACAGTACTAAACTTATATACACACGGATTCATTAAAATTATACGAGAACAAATTCATTTACAGTGACGCCGGCCTTAAAATTTTTCGTTGTAAGAACTAATACGCCCCTTTCTGTTTCAATATCGTCACAACTCTTCACGCTGTAAACAGCGCTGTAAACAGCTTCACGCTGTAAACAGCGGAAAGTAGAAGGCACAATTTCAACCACATCTTGCAGATATCCAACTTCACAACCTCCACTCAACGGCGAACTTATTTATAATACTATATTATAAATATTTTAATTTAAAAAAAGATACACGCTTACGAAACAAATCAATGTAGCCTTGATATAAGTGACTACGACATAAAACACGAGGATACAGATAAACATGTGTAAGACAAAATAGGAGGGTAATAGTAAATAAATAAACGGGAGATTTTATTTGCATTCTCAAAATATTTGAACAGTTGTAAACAGTACTGAAAATAACATTAATTTGCAACAAAGCAAAATAGAACCACAAAAGGATACAAGTGATAGAGCAGAATTAATAAAACAAGTGATAGGTGGTATGAAAATCACAACGAAGAATCGAGTTTTTTGACTTTTTGCATCGCGTAGGTAACGGATGAAAACACAATGTGTATTACTAGAGGAGAACTAATGCGGACTGATAGAGCACTGATGTGTCGTGGTGAGGTCCGGTCGAAATTTGAAAATTTCGAAGCGATATAGTAAACTGAGTTAGAACTTTTAATGCACAGCAGAACAGCGAAGTCAAAGCGGAACTTATTTTGGAACATTTATTTTAAATTTTGTTTTGGGAAATTTCGAAAACTTGCATGAAAGAGTGCTAGCGGAGGAAGAACAAACTATTTGGTGAGCGCGAGGCAAATGGCAAGGAGACGAGAAGTCGCATCGTCCAAGAGGGCCGTGTTTCGCCCAAAGGAAAATTACAAACCAGAAAACGTCACTGAAAAATGTTCGAGGACAAGTATTAATATATTTCACTAAGAAAGCAAAATCAATGTATCCGTCTGTTTGTTCTTCCGTCCGTCCGTCCGTCCCTCCGTATGTCTGTCTGTCTGTCCGTCTATCAGTCTGTCAATCTGTCTGACCAACCGTCTGTTCGTCTTCCTGTCCGTCTGTCTTGTTTTCTCTGCATGACTCTCGTTCTCGTTCTCCTTCTTCTCCCTCTTCTTCTACCTCTTCATCATGATCATCATCATCATCATCATCATCATCATCATCATCATCTTCTTCTTCTTCTTCTTCTTCTTCTTCTTCTCCTCCTCATTATTATTATTATTATTATTATTATTATTATTATTATAATAAATTAAAAGAATAGTGTATTTGGTATAATTAGCTCAGTGTTTTTTCTCTTTTTTCTTAATAGAACGGGTTAGAAATAAAATTAATAAAATCTGTCAAATATCGATCTGTTTCTAAGCCATTAAACATGTTATTACAAGTTATTATCCTTATTCCTTATTATTATACGTAGGTGCGAAAAGTGTGTTTCCGCTTTACATGTGTACTTTAGAAGATACCGAAACAAACAATACTGAAGGCAACTATGATAATCTCGCTTTCGAAGTCGGGAAGTGTATCTTCCAGTGTTCCCACCCAAACGACCAGCTGGCAGATCGCCTCCCACTCGCTGACAGTGACGTCAAGGGCGACGCATGCGCAGTGGCCAGTGGCTGAAAGCTCTCGCAGAAAGTCGACGCGACCGCTCCCCGCCGCCGGTTCCCGCCACTCGGCGACTGCGCTGCGCCAGGGCTGGTCGCATCGGCGAGACAGTTGTTCGGCGCTCACAAGCTCCTACGTACACAGTTTCAGAAGGAATTTTACAGCACGTCTCTTCGCGTTTGTGCAGATCGAGGGCACAAGACTATCGTCCCGCAGGAAGACACAAACTTGGTATGTGAGAACATTGGACTTTTCGATCTGTCGAGCAATGAATTGATCACTTCCATTGCATCATTCGACCGGGAATTCCCGCGAGAGGAGTTTTCTGTTAACAGGTAGTTCGAGTTTCTCTGAATGAATCTGTTATTCAAGGCATATTATGCTTCAAATGTTGTTTTTTTTCGTAACTTGGGCTCCTTTTTTTTAGTGGGTAATAGTGATTTTTTAAAATCATTTTTAGTATTTTTAGCGAATGACAGTTACCACGAGTATTACCTGTGCCAGAGATGTTTAATTGGGAGAATATTAAAATACACGCATACTTATTAAAAGTATTATTTTTCTTGCTTTGCTAACTTTAAAGACAAAAATTCTGTGTGTCTGCTCAGTTTAACTTTTCGAAAGTCGCGGGTGATGAAATACATTATGACTATTGGATTCCTAATTCTTTGTGAAGAGGTTTGCCAATTGAATAATGCTTCATTTATCAAAATTACTCACATAAAAATTTGCACTCACTTTATGTATTATTAAAAGCTTGGATAACCAATATCGTACAGTATTGTAGTATTAGTTTTCTACAAAAAAGACAGTCTTTTCCCGTTATGAAATGCTTTGAAATTTTGCTGTGGGGAAATTCTGCTAGGCTTTCTGAAACAAAAATATTATGCTGTATAGTTAGCAAAAACGGTTTTAAGGCAGTGGTGTTGAAAATGAAATAGGGTGTCTTTAATAAATATAAGATAATGAAATTATTAATTGTACAGTAGGAAAGTACAAAGATTAAAACAGTTTTACAATTTTTCCATTTTTGACTCATTACACTTAGTGTTTTAAAATATTGGTTTAAATTTTAAACCCCTTAAGAATAATATTTTACTTCATTTCACGTTGACTAGATTACGATCCCAATAACAATATCAAAAATTTGTTCTTTAGTATCATGTAAATTAAAAAGATTACTAAGACTTTTTATAAAAAAAGTTTTTTAACAAAAATAATATGGTATTTGAAACTACAGACGTTTACCTACTATAAATCACCGATAAGAATTTTGATCCAGACATATTTTCCGAGGATACAATATCTAAATTTGTACAACAGATGTAACCATAAACTAAAACCTAAACAAAAATATTCGACGTGAATTCATAATGGATAAAATCTGGTTGATGATTAATGTGTATTCTCAAGCCTTTTTTATTTATTTGCAAGTCGAATATTTTGTTTGGTTGTAGGTTAGGATTACATCTGCTGTACAACTGTGGTTACAACTTATGGTTACAACTGTGTTAACTTGACGTGACACTGCTGCTTTCATACATTGTAATCCTTTCAATGAAATTATGGGCAACTTCACAAAAAAATATTTAGAAACCCATGGCTGAGAATGAAGACATTCAAGTGAATACTGGAAAAAAACGAATGGTGTTATAGAATGACCCAAAGTTTTTGCAATAGTTAGTTTGTAAATCTCTTTGGTTTATAATAGCTTTTCGGCATTACCCCATCTTCTTCCCAGACGCATTGACGCACCTACGAGACAATTTATCAAATTTTCTCAGTTATTTGGTACTCAAAGTGGAGAATTTACATATGACTTCATCAATATTACATAAGTGTAAAACATGGCCATACATACAAATATTCATTTAAGATTTGTTTTGAGAAAACGTCATGTTAGCGTTTCTGAAAATGCACAATTTTGAACTCATTTCTACAAAAAACTTAACTCTTCAAGAAACTTCATCAGAATTTGTTTGAAATTTTAAAACTAGTAAAAAATCCTATAACCGACCGCCTCAAGGACCAAACTGATTTAAAAAACCTCCCTCCCCCTCCCCTGCTTCCCCGGGAGGGCAATGTACAAAATGACACCGTGTGAGAAACACACCACGAATCATGATGACCATGTTACTTGGGTAAATAATACTATTTTGTAAGTTTGTGATCTTTATTAGTTTTGACAATTTTATGTTTTACATATCATAGTTTTTCTTAATATCCTGTTGTAGACACTGAAGATGAGGTAAAATACCTCAAACATATCTGTCTAATGCTATAACTGACAAATAATTAGTTAATAAATTTTGTTTCTGGAAGATCAATAATTTTTCCTCCCGTTGTATTACAATAATTTTATATCCTTTCACAATCCGTAATATTGAAAGTAAATTTGTTGATGAACATCCATAATATACTTTGTATATCAGCATTATAATGGACCGTTTCCGTAGCAAGAAGTCGTTCATAAAATGGCATTTTGTAACACACTAGGCAGTTTATGGCATAGCCCGTCCTCCCGCCCCCCCGGGGGGGTGGTATCCCTGCCCATCGTCAGCATTCGGCTTCACGCCCGTCCTTACTGCCCGTCTTCCCTGCCTGTTCTCCCTCACCGTCCTCCGACGACATAATACCTACTACATCTTTTGTTGTCGATTGGAAACTGCTTTTCGAATTTGTTTCCAAAATTAATAATTAATCGCTCCTAACGTCATTCCTTTTCAAATCATTTACTTATAAAATAAAGAAATGCATTATAAACAAGTTGCATGATATACTATGTTATCTTCATTATGATCCCCTTTCTTGAAACGGATGTGGTGAGGATGATGGTTTCAATAATGAGGTAAGGATGAAATCCGACAAAAAACGGGGGAACAAAACTAGGGTTGCCAAACGTCCATTTGGGAGGGCAATCCTCCATTGACGTCAGTTGTCCTCTCGTCCTTTGTATTTTTAATGTCCTCCTTTTAGTAAATTTTTAACATTTCTAACATTTATTTTATTACATGGCTAACATCTGTGATGTTGTATCGTTTATTATTTAATGTAGAATAGAAAACACGAATAGCATTTTTTTTATGAACGCTGACATACGCATGTGTGTCTCTGTCTAGCAAATAAAATAAAAAAAAGATACTCTGAGACCATTGTCATCCGTGTTTTGCGAACGAATGTTTTCATTTGCATCGCAAATGAAGAGAAGAAAGAAACAGAGCTGATATTAGTCTAAATTTAAATATTTACAAAAAATAAATGTGTTGATGCTTTTTTTTGTCTTATCGAGTGTCCTCCCTTTTACATGAACTTTGTTGGCAACCCTAGACAAAACCTGATCACAACCCGCTTAGCCTAACGCCAATTCCAAATAAATCAACCGAATTCGGACGTGAATGTAAACAGTCTGACCACCAGTGCTCTCGACATTCATGGAGAATACAGTTGTTAAAATCTTAAATTCTTGTGATGTTTTTTAAAAATATTCAGGTATTCCCTGCAACCGTAATAGATCTGCGACCTCGCTTGCGAGTCTCGTGAAAAGGAAACGACCTGTATTATGCAACAAGGAAAACTGAACTTCAGTTTATGCCCGATGCCAACGCGGAGGACTCGGGTTCTGCCATTGTTCATTTTTAATCCAAATTTCACATACGCTTGCACCATAAAAGTTCGACTTTTTTCGCTCTGTGGTTGAGATTAGTAAGTGCTATGTTATCGGATATTCTTTATTGCCAGTTGTCGTATACTCTATCTCAAAGAAATGAAATAAATTTTGATAAACGCATTTGAATGTAGAATTTGATAAAATGTTCAAGGTGCGCAAGAATATTTGCTCCATTCAAAAAAGCAGAGATGTGTGAAGTAATGGAAACAGATAAGGAAGATAAATGAAATTGAGCCGACGCCATCATAATTTCATCATCTCCACATATCAGTTTCTGTAGAATTATTAATGGATAATCCAGAACACCATCTTAAGAAAATTATTTGGACCAATTATGTTTTGCATCAGACTGAAAGATACATTTTGTAAATGAAATAACAGTTTTGTTTGCTGGTGACTCATTCGTATTTTCTTGGGCCTTCAACATTTTTTACCAATTTATATACTACTCGTAAAACGTAACCCTTAGTTTAAGCGCTAAATGGTTTCTGAAAAAAAAGTTTTTATATATCTAAAGTAAACGTTTTTTTAAACAGCACGGAATACACTACTCATAGCTTGCCTCAGTAATTAAGTACCGATTGTATAATTTGAAAATATAAAAATATAAATAAATACTCGACAGTTAATTACGTTATATTCTTTCTGATGCTTGGAAAGCCCAGCAGGAAGAGGACAATTGTTTGGTCGACTGCAAGAAATATCTCAATAAGACAATGCCAGGTCTACGCACGTTAGGCTCGTGTCATATACCACCAATCCAATTAAAAATCAAACTTTTTAACAAAACAGTCATGTATAATGAATGATTTACATTTGTATTGTATATTTAAAAAAAAGACTTAATATACTTGTAACAAATAATGTACTTCAGCTTCCATATCAAAGACCCCATCTCGATCAGGTTTTTGTCCAATTTCCCTGATTATTTGAGAAAATGGTGAGATATTTTGCTTCAGGACGTAAAAGTAGCTTCACTATGCGCACGTTTTGTTGAACCCTTCTTTTGCTTGTAGTTGTTGGAGTAGAGGGAAGGGCGAGTTACTATTTTGTTAGCAATGCACAAAAATAAAATTGTAGTTCGTTTACCGTTGCAAATACGTTTTCTATAACTCGAGAACAAAAATGTCTAGTTTTTTCGAATGTTGCTAATTTAGCGCTTTTTTAAATTTTATTTTTATTGATTTATCTTTAACTTTTACTCATCATTCAACTATTTATAGTTAAAATGATGGGAAGGGATTATGGAACTCAAGAAAACGTGCGCACATGATCTTCTCCCCCATACCTCACACACAGTTTTTACTGTTTCTTGACTAAATAAATCTAAATCTAAGATGAGAGCGTAGGTTTCTGCGGCCGAAGTCTGTAGCTACTTGGCTGTCCGAGAGGCGCCCGGGCGCGCCCCGTCCTAGCCACATGTGCCTATGTGTCGGCCACCATTCTGCGACCTTTCTCAGGGTGAAATTGAGGGAGTGGTACCGGCTAACTTTGATTTTGATGCTATTAAGGAGCTACTGTTTCCTTCGTAGAAGGTTTTCATTGACTACATATACACAGTATTCATATTCTCTTTGAGACATATCGACGAACCCCACTAGGACTATGCTGCTGGCTCTGATGAGAACCACCTTCCTAAGAAAAATCAGCTCTGTTAACAAACGAACTTTTGCTTATCGTATACGTACGTATATACGGAGTATTATTAATTTCGAAAGGAATTCTTTAAAATTTGGGGGTACTACACATGACGGACATTTTCAAACTTTCCTCAAAAACGGCTTCAAATTTTGTTTTTAAATTTGTTGTAAGAATAGAATAAAATACCGAAAGGTGGTATAGGTCAGATTTTAAGGTTTATCCCTGAACTTTCAAAAAAATTGAAATTTTTTCGGCATTTTCCTACAACTAAAAAATTGAATATAGAGATTTTTTCTTCAAATAAAATTTGTTCTCCATAGTGAGTTCTTCCATTGGATTATGTGCATTTTTTAAAAAGTTTAGTAGTTTTCTCGCAATATTCCGAGCAATATGTGCAATTTTAAACAATTAGAAAGGCAAGATTTTCTCTCAAACATTTCCAAACTTTTTCTTTAAGCCATTGGTAGGGATAGTGCTAAATGCACTCAACAATAGGCCATAAACACCATATTGCTCTATTCTGTTGTTTTTCAAAAAATTACAAAAATGTAATTTTTTTACTTGTCTCTCACGTCGTTAATATTCATATTAGCGGCAACTTGTTCACATTATTATATTTATGAGTAAATGTGCTTTAAATAATGCCATAAAATTTCTCGAAAATTCAACAGTTTGCTGTGAAAACGAGCTCAAAATTCCGCATTTTCAGAAATACTCAAACGCCATTTTCGCAAAAATTGCTGCAAATTTTATTCTACAAACTTTTCGAACGGATGGTGCTAATTGCATTTTTATATGACATAAAGTTTATTTCGGGGCATTTTTTCAAAAATCCACAAATGTAGTTTTTTGAAAGATTTCTCACGTCGAGAATATGCACATTTCTGCCAGTTTGTAAACACTATTGTATTTGTGAGTTAAAGTACTTCAAATGACTTCGAAAACTGTTTTTCGAAAACTTAAAAAAGTTTCTGTGAAAAATAGCTTTAAATTTCGAATTTACAGTAGCGCTTAAGCGTAAAAAAGGCTACAAATTTTTCAACTTTTTCTAAGTTTTTGCAATTATGAGATAAATGCAGAGTACCATTTTTGTATGTCAGGAAAAGCGGAGTATTTTACTTGATTAATCTGAACCGAATGCTACCAGATCATCCACAGGGGATTCACCAAGCAAGGCATTTACATAGAGACAGCATTAAGTCTGACTTTTCTCAATTTAAAATGAGCTGCTGAAAGCAGATAACTTTGTTTAAATAAGTGTGCTTACTGCTCAGTTTCTGCACAATGCAATAAATCGCCTGCCTAAAAACAATTACTTATCGCAAAGACTGCTTCAGATTGTTAGAGATTTCGGGCGCGACATCTGCAAAGTTCATTAGTCCCGCAAGTGTAGTGCTTGACTTTTTCTGAATAGATGGCGATGGTCTTCCCCACTGGATGGCGAGATCGAAGGCAAGGGGGGTTTCCGCCACCAAGGTATCTCCCACCAACAGAGCATCGCTCCAGCCGTATCAAGCTCTTAGCACCGACCGATCTCTGTACAGCAAGCACTGCAAAGAAATCACTTACATGGGAAATACCCACAACTCTCGTCACATAGGGACACATAACACGCTGTCACTGCCAGCAGCTGTCTGTAAACTAGTTGCCTTCAATATGGCGTGGGGAGCGGCTTTCAAATTGTAACGCTACACTAGCCCTACAAGTGCGTTTATGCATTTATACAGCAGCGCAGCTGTGTTAAATGCCCTATGATGTGTTGGTCAGCGATTTAAGCGATCCGCGCGGCGATCAAGGATTACTTCGCCACTTCACAATTCGTAATACTGAATCGTTCTACTAAATCGAACCAAAAAGTAAATGGTTTTGTATGTATTTTAATTTTTTATGCATATTACCAAAACAATACGTGAAGTATAAGTTTTGAATAATTTTTAAGGAAATAAATGATTTAAATCTAATAAAGAATGTTGTCCATTGAAAGTAAATAGTGGAATCGTGAGGAAGAACAAGTATTTTCATACTGTTCATAAAATATCTAGAAATGTAAGTAATCTATGTAGTAAATAAGGGTAGCTAGGAGTAATAACATTTCTGTTACGAGGTAATAATGCATTTCCGGCTTCCTTTTTTGGTCTATAAGACAAGTAAAAAACCACATAGATCAGGGTGCTTTTCTTCATTATTACTGCATTTAATTGCAGAGTAGTGCAATATTTTCACGCATTGTTATTAGTGCATTAACTGGAAAAGTATAAGAATTCAGTTGGTGTATATCAAATATATTCCGATACATGTCAAATAAAAGGTAAAAATGTTGGTTCGATGTAATTTTTCGTGTTATTTAATGACTTGCCCAAGAAATCGTAGGAACATAACATCACGAGGTCAAGAAATAATACGAATTTTCTTGTACCTTTTTAACCATCTCTTAATAAACCAAAGAGCTAGAATATAGTATGTAGAGTGGCTGTCCCTATAGTTTCAGCGCTCTTGGTGGAGGCTCGCTGAACTAGTGGCCGCCATGGTTTTTGAAGTCGAAACATACGAGAAGCAGTGTAACCAGGATGTAACCGTCCGTAACCAACACCTAACGTAATGCTAGAATACTTTGATTCCCAGAGGGCACTGTTTTGGCTGCAAAAAAACATGGCTTCAATTTGCTTCAATGATGGAGCCGCTTCAGCCACTCTAGGTAGTATATTCTAGCTTGTTGTAATAAACGCATGAACAAAAAATCCCTATACTTCAGTAGCATCTACCCTAGTCTTACTTGAGCTCCGCCAGATCGCTAGCTGTATGCTGAGCTGCGCTACTGTATAAATACATATAGTGTTAATACTATCCAATGTCTTTGTTTAGACCTTGCCCCCTGTTTGCTGATTGGGAGTTGCCCCGTTATCACATAGCTTAGCAGTGTATCGAATGCGACAGGAATGCAATTAGGATGTGAAGTTTTAGATTTGAAACCGTAAAAAAATGTAGCAGAGTTTCGCAAGACATCAGCCTTGCTTGAGAGAGGTTAAGTTTCATCTGCTAATTTGAGATGTGAGGGAATCTTTAGATTTGAAATGTCTGTAGAGGTTTCAGACAAACTTTTAGATATGGCAGGGACAATTGAACATTGAATTCCAGTATATCAATCGTTGAAGCAAGATTTAATTTTTACGTGCACCTTGCCATTCGATCCTGATTTTGGATTATTGATTTGATGAATTGCAGAGTTGCATTTACTTCTAGAGAGAACTAATAAAAGGGATTATAATATGAAGAACACCCGGATACCAGAGTCTTGCAGTGCACGAACTGAAATGATATTACCGCCTCTGTTCACTACATAAATAATAGTTGTAGGGAGCAGAACCCGTATTTTGTTCCACTGACGTGTGAAAACACTTTTTCAGCATTGTTTCAAACTGGTTCTTCTTCGTCAGAACATTCTTCTGCATTCGCGGAAAGTTCAGATTGTACGTTAATATGAGATACTAAGTTTTATTTGGAGGTTATGCTAGAATAGAATAGAATTTCGGGGTCCCATTGAACCAGAACTTCATAAGCAAGAAGTGAGAATGTGTAGAGTACATTATTCATTGAGGGAATGCAAAGCTGATAGTATTGGGTAATATCTCTCTCTCTCTCTCTCTCTCTCTCTCTCTCTCTCTCTCTCTCTCTCTCTCCTGTCTGTCTGTCTGTCTCTCTCTTTCTCCCTCTCTCTCTTTCTCCCTCTCTCTCTTTCTCCCTCTCTCTTTCTCTCTCTCTCTCTCTCTTTTTTTTTTTTCAGTCGGTCCTTTTATTCCCCCTTCGCCAAGAGACCCGGAACCGAGGTTCTCAGACCGTCACCCGCCTAGGAATCCGCGGGATCTCGAATGTTTAACTTCTGTGATTTCCCAGAGTTCAGTTCAGCGATTCGGCCAACGACGCCGGCATCTTTATAATAATTTTTTCATCTCTTTTGTGTCCCAACTAACAAATTGTCGCATGACAATTGCAGGAGTCCAACACGAAAATGCGTAATGCATAAAGCAAAATAAAACAATTGACACACGCCAAAGGTTCGATGGACTGAGCCCATATTGTTGCTCGACTGTTCCAGCCATGTGGGCGACGGTGGCGGCGGCGGCGGCGCGGGCGACGTGGCTGGACTGGGCGGCGCTGTGCGGTGTGCTGCTCGGAGCGCTCTACTACTGGGGCACCCGCAACTACGACTTCTTCGAGCGCGTGCCCGGCGGCCCGCTGCCCGCCCTGAGGCCGCGCCTGCCATTCGCCGGCTCCTTCTGGCCCATGTTCCTGGGCACGGAGCCCATGCCCGACCTGGTGAAGCGGCTGTACGACAGCGGCGCCGGGCACCGCGCCGTCGGCCTCTTCGACTTCCGCAGGCCCATGTACATGATCCGGGACCCCGCGCTGCTCAAGCAGGTCACCGTCAAGGACTTCGACCACTTCGTCAACCACCAGAAGCCCGTCGTCAAAGACATGGATCCCGTTTTCCTTAAAAACCTCTTTTCGCTCAGAGGTACGGTTTCATACTTTCATACTTAGAGGTAATGTTTCATATTGTTACTTTCTCGCTACCGCAGTGGACAGAAAATTATGTAGATGTAGCGCGAAAAACTGTGAATTTTCAGCAGAAAAACTCTTATTACAGGGACCGGATAACGAAAACGTGGATAAATCCAGTTGCTACATTTAGAAAAACCATTATCTAACACGTGGTATGGCCAGAATCCCTGGGTCCTTGATCCCGAAAAATCGAAATGACGGCAAAACGCGTCCGTCATTCTGTGAACAACGCTAGCGGCTAAGCCGATTTTGTTCAAAACTGACATTCCCTAATCGATCTGGCTAATGTCGCTGCCCCTCGAATTTGAAATCGATATTTTAATCGATATTATTTGGTGGTTCTTTATATGAAGCCCCTGGGACATTTTCAAAATGTTTCGAAACAATCGCTCCATCGTTTTTGATTAAATGTTGTTGTTGGATTAGGTAAAAGTCGTTTAAGAGAATGGGGCAATCTGATATTCGTTAAAAACACTGATTTTTTGAAAATTGCAAAAACTTCACACTTTTTTCGGGTCTTCCTACAACTACAATTATAAAGAAAGATTTTTCCCCTGTACTAGATACTTAAGATTAGAAAAAGATAGATGAAAGACAGATTTTGAAATAAGGTCATATACAATTTCTCGAAAATTTCGTAATTTTGCGTGAAAATACGAACGAGAAAGTACGTGCTGTTTTAGCACCACTAGTTGCAATTGGCGGTCGATGTCAACGTTCACTTCTTCCCTCCATCCCAGGTCTGCTCCGTGGTGGAAAGATATGGGTGAGCTATTGCGCATCGTATCCGACTTCAGAAATTGAGAGTCGTCGGGCACCAGTTTGCATCACAATATTGGCGGGAATTTTAAATGCAGGCATATAAAATTATCACCTTGTTAGAAGACATTGAAACAGATTATATATATATATATATATATATATATATATATATATATATAGCATTTTAGACACTTTCATCGTGTTATTTTTGGTTGGTCTCCGCTGAAAATAGTCACTTTATGGCGCTTTCAAAATGTTTCTCATCAGTTCTCGCTCAACCTGCATTATGGCGGCCAGCGTCTGATTTGTTTTGTTTTCAAACGAAGTGCCCGTGCTGTGGTCACGTGTTTCTGACGAAAACTGTCGAAAGAAAAATTAACCCACAAATAAAAAAGCACCCAATTTACACAATTTGACTATTTTTTATTGCTCGGTTATTTTTTTCTGAGCAATTATATTCATTTCTTTTGTAAATAATAAACAACTAACATGTTTCTGGAGTGTTTCTATGTTTCTGCGAAGAAACTTTTTGCCTAGAAAGCAATTTTTCAAACCAACTTTTGAGTGATTATTGGGGCTAAGCCATTCATACAAGTAGTTTATTATACAAAATGAGCTTAAAATTGTTTTAAGAATTTATTTTCGAATTTTCGACGTTTCTTCCCCGGACAGTGTATTGTTCCAACTTGTAAGTTGGCTATTGTTCCAACTTATAAGCTTCCCATCCATTTCCTGTAATATTTTTTGTCGGCAAAGCGTTTTCATGGGGTGTAGATCCAATGTTCACCGCACGGTTGTGTGCGATGTTGCAGATCAGCGCTGGCGAGAGATGCGCGCCACCCTGAGCCCGGCTTTCACGTCCAGCAAGCTCAAGGGCATGTTCGGCCTCATCCAGACTTGCGCGCGCCAGCTGGCCCAGCACGTCTCCGGGCAGCACACCCAAGGTGACAAGACAGCGTTCTCAACATACATTTCTCATTCATCTCCTTCACCTTCATCAGTTACCTCATTCTGCTTTTCAATTTTTCAATTTTGGCGCCTAATCTCTAAAGCTCGATTATACGCCCTTCTTGGTGCAAATGCAGTCCAAACTGTCTGATTTTTTAACTAAAAATCAAAATTATTGTATAGCAGACCCTCCCAGGCGCTCACAACAAAAATGGACAAAAATTTAAACGGGAATTCAATTTTAATCAATGTATGCGACTACAAACCGTTCGCAAAGGATTCTACAAATCTTCCTGGAGCAAGTCACTTCCTGAGTGTCATAATTGCTTAATTCTTTCAGGTGGGAAGGATGTTTTGGAGCTAGACATCAAAGATCTCTACACTCGTTTTACTAATGACATCATTGCCACCACTGCCTTTGGATTGTCAGTGGACTCCCTGAAGAACCCTAAGAATGAGTTCTACATGATGGGAATGGAAACTACTACGCCCTCTCTAAAACAGATCTTAGTTGTAATTGGATTCCTGCTATTTCCAAAACTTACTAAGGTAGGAATTGGGTACACACATGCATCGTCATCAATGTTCACATGAATGATATTTAAATATTTAAATACTTTTGTGTACATAGGCCTGTGGATAAAATATAATATTATACATTAATAACAGATTGAAACAATTAACATGGTAATGTTAAAATCATAATAATTATATACAAATAGTTACACCTAAAATTGGTATATAACTATTGAATTATTCAAATTTAATTCAAATTGATTGAGAATAATTACGTAGATTCAGTGTTAATTAATCAGGCACACAGAAAAAAAAATCAGACCCAAAGACGACACATGCTTCTCTATGAACATCGACGCGCTGAATACAAATCTCAAGCCAGAATTGCGCCCCACCCTCCAGTTTTTTTAATCGCGAAAAAAACACCGTGAAATTTACAATTTGACATTGGTTTGCCAAATGTTTGGGCCTTACAACAACCTCCAAAATTTAAAAAAAACAATTTCACTGTGTTTTTTCGTGATTTAAGAAAACTGGAGTGTGGTGGCGCAATTCTGGCTTCAGATTCGGATTCAGCCCGTCGGCATTCGTGAAGACTTTTTTGGGGGAGCCCGTGTTATTAAAATACAATCTGAAATTCAGACTAGAGGAAATCAGATAAATGTTTTCAGTTACATTATCTAATCTATACATTATATTGTCATCTAGTCACATATGTGAAAACCAACGAATCAATTATCTGATCAAAAAATAACAATTTAAATTAAAAAACAACAACATTTTTAACTATGAAAATCATAATATCAGCCCTACAGACAGGTATACTTCACCCACAGGCATATTATAAACATTCAGTACATATATTCTATCATCAAATTCTCGTATTTAGTAGCATTAGGTTAGTAGCTTCTTCTATCAGTTACTATCAAACATGTAAGATAAAAAAAATTGTTCTTATGCTTAAATATTTTTCCTAGACATCATTGCATAGTTTTGTCTTAATGCACTTAATTCATACTTACATTATACATATACATATATTTGTTTTGTAATTTAATGTGCAGGCATTAGGAGGACGTTTAATGCCTAAAAAAAATATTGACTTTTTTGACTCACTGGTTCATGACACCATTCGAGAGAGAAGGGAAAAGGGCATCTTCCGCCCTGATATGCTACAGCTGCTGATGCAGGCCCAAGCTGGACAACTGAAGGCAGAGAGTGAAGAAGAAAAGCAAAATGAAGAAAGAACTACCAAATATAGTAAGAATAGTTACATGTGGTGTTTTATAGTCCAATGTGGATCTATAACGTGTTATCTGTAATTTATAAACTTTTATTAACTCATTTTATATACCATAAAATTAAAAAAGCTTTTATAATTAGTTGAAGTGTAGTTATTAGTTTCAGCTGAAAGTCAGATTACTTGTAAATAATTACTTTGAGAAAGGATTAAATCAATTTTATTACTAGGACCCTAAGACTTGTTAAATTAATTCACAAATTGATAAGAAAATTTGGAAAATTTAAATTATCCTTTTTTCATGAATTCTACTAAAAATGTGTTGAAAACTGTTCTAGAACTTGAAGATGTAGATATAACTGCCCAAGCTCTTGTATTCTTCTTTGCCGGCTTTGAAACATCAGCAACCGCACTCTGCTTCATTACATATGCAATAGCCACTCATCCAGAAGTGCAGAAACGCTTACAAAATGAAGTGGATGAAGCAATGATGCACACAAATGGAGATCTTACATATGAAACAGTGCAAGGAATGAAATATTTAGATATGGTGGTGAGTGGTAAGTACCTATCTTGAGAATGCATTCAGGAACATCAAATTATGTATTTCATTTTTATATTGTGATGGCTTATTGTGTCAATACATTAAAAACATTTTTTAAATTCATTTATTTCTTTTTTTCCCTATATTTCTGTTCTATTTCTCTTTACTTAAATTTTAGAGGTAAATATATTCTGAGAGAACCATGTACCATTATCCTTTTAACATTTAGAAAAAAATATACTAATTATTATTAATTTCAACACAACTATGAATGAATGATTACTTATTTGAATTTCCTACAGGCTAAACTAATTACAGTTCTTTTGTAACCTTATTTGACAACTAGAAAGTATATTTCATTATTTTTGGTTTGCATGCAAATTTCATGTTTTGTATCATTTCAACAGAAGCTCTGAGGCTGTATCCTCCTGGAATTGCCACGGATCGTCAATGTTCAGGAGATATAACCATCCCTGCTAACAATGGTGAACCTGCACTGCATTTCAAAGATGATGATGTGCTATGGATTCCTGTTTGTGGAATTCACAGAGATCCACAATATTGGCATGATCCAGAAAAATTTGATCCTGAACGTTTCAGTGATGAAAACAAGCAAAACATCAAGCCATTCACCTATATGCCTTTTGGATTCGGTCCTCGCATTTGCATTGGTAAAGCAATTTCCTTCAGTTTAAATATTTTACTTTCTTGTATCTTCTAGCATAATATAGACAATGATAGGTAAAAGCAGCAGAAAACAGAGATTTTTCAGCAAAAAATCATATTGTAAGTCACAGATTCTGAGAAAGTGGATATTTCTTATTCGTATAATTATCTACTTTAATTCATTCTTCTAAACTACTTCTGTTAACACATTGTGTAGTCAGAAGTCATGCTTTGTGGGTCTTAGAAATACTTAACACCCATCTGTCTATCTGTCTCTGTCTGTGTCTATCTGTTTCTGTCTGTCAGTCTCTCTCTGTCTGTCTGTCTCTGTCCTGTTCCAGCCTATCTATCTGTCTTTAAACACCACTAGCAACTAAACTATAAGTAGGATTTTCACCAAAATTAATACTTTCCGATCGGCTTGGCGGACGTTACGAACCCTTGAATATGAAATAGAATTTTAATTTTTTTAGTGTAATTGACATGAAGTCTCAACATCTTCCATTTTTCTCAAAAACGGCTCCACATTTTAGATTATTTTTTTATTGGTTGCAGGAAGGTGCACTAATAAAAAATGACTCTGGACCAATTTTTGTTCAATTCTCTAAATTTCCGAAAATTGCAAAAGTGAAAAAATTGTTGGCGTTTTTATAACATCTAAAATATTGATGATAAATTTGCATCAAATTAAATCTGTTCTTCAAAATTAGAACTATAAATGATATCGTGAACAATATTTTCACAATATAAATTGTTTTCGCGAATTGTTCGTGAAATAAATTTAATTTTAAAAACAACATTTTCTCCAAAACTGCTCCAATTTTTTTCATTAAACTATTTGTGCGGATAGTCTAAATGCACTGAATGACATGAAATCAACACCGTTTTGAATTATTCCTTTGAGTTGTAGCTTCGAAGCATACTTGGACTTCAGATGAAGTGCATTACAGCTTTTGTGGATATGTGCGGTTTATTTTGAGTCCCCTATTATTCAGGCATTTATTCTTGATTTATTGAACAAATGCTATGATGGTTTCTTGCTTTTCTGAAAACTAGTAGCTTTCCTGCCCAAAAAGGTACCCAGCGCACATGTCTTACTATTTTGGTGATTAAATAACATTTAAAAACTAGTGGTTCTTCACCAGCATATACTTTCTCGCGTTGTTGGGAATGATTATGTAATATTACTTGTAATTTCTGCCCAACTAACTGAGCACTCCCTTAAAAAGTCGAAAACAAATTGAAACGAAACGCCTGCAGTGCGTACTATTTCGCTTGTTTTGCGTGCTTATTATACATTTAGAGCAGAAAGCAGTTTAATAAATCGCCTTGCGAATGCGTAAAGAAAAGGTTACAATCTACCGCCTTTTACCATTTAAATATATCTGAAATACAATAGAAACGTTTAATCTTAATTATTTCTTTTAAAGCAAATATATCACAAATTCAATATTTCGGCATTGTCACTCTGGGTGCTGCGGTAAGTGAAATATATTCAAACGACGTTGTCATTACGTGACTTTAAGAACCATAACTTCTTCTACTTCGCGATGATAATATAGTTAAATGGACCATTTTATTGAACTTAAGAGACTAACTTACATTAAGGTTCAATATGAAAAAAGGCCTCGTCGTTCCATCCATATCAACCAACAATGAAACGAATTCTAAGAATTTCAAACTGCCGTACCTTGTCTTGCTTGGAGTCATGATTTAGCGGGCCTGCACAAGTGCTCTTCCCGGGCTCGCAGATTAATCACTGGCGTGAGTTGCTATGGAAAAAGCGGGAGGGGGGGGGGAGGAACCTCTCGCACCCAGACAAGCTGTTGTTCGGAGAGGGAGGATGGAGGGAGGGTTGAGAAGAGGAAGGAAAGAAAAGAGTTGTTATGCACGTGGTAGTAGACGAACGGGTGTGGGTGGGAATTTTGATGTGTTAAGCTTAAGTGGCGGGTGAGTAGGACGGTTTATTTATTGGTGTGTTGTTGGAGGATGTCTAATGATGTCGGAAGTATGCTGTATGTTTGGGTGGATTTACTAAGAATGATTGGTGGTGGAGGAACATGAAGGGGGTGAAGTAGGGTTTTGTAAGGCGGATAAAATATTTTGGTTGCTGTGTCGAAAATGTCTTGTCGAATAGGCGTCATTTGTAGTTTTTGTCTTAGTCTATTGTAGTTAGTGAAAGGGGGTGGTCTAAAAGCAGTCCTTAGAAATCTGTTTTCTAGTCGGTGAATTTTGTCGTAGTTTGTATTGCTTGTGTGGGCCAGGTTTCACAGTTATATTTAATAATTGGTTTGATGTATGTCTCGATATATCTGAAGTTTGTCTTTGGTTGTTGTCTTTGGGTGTGAAATTATTGGGGAAAGGGCGTTGAGTTTTCTGTGGCTTTTTGAATTGCGTGTCTTATGTCGGGTCCAGAGTAGTTTGCGGTCTAGTATTATTCTAATATTGGTGTTTCGGTCATGATAGGAGTGTGTCGATGGTGAGGCGCGGAAGTTAGTTTGTTCGTAATCTAGTCATGATTCATTGTTTTCTTTTTCTTTTTAACGTTTTTATTTTTCTTTTTTCCAGTATTTTATTTTATCGTGCTTTTGTCTCTGTTAAAGCATTTTATGTTTTTAAGTCAGTCTTGTTTCTATTGAAAAGTATAGCGGGGCATTTTTGAGAGTAAAGTCAAGTTGTTGTCTTTTGTCCAAGCAGATATTCGTTTAATGCTCCTGGAGGGTTTGTACGGAGGCTGCGAAATCTTGTTTCGTCACTGTCAGCGGTGTCGTCGGCGTAGATGTAGTCGTTTATTTTGTTGGCAGTTGGTAGTCGTTGGTGTATAGAGAAAAGAGAGTTGGGGATAGGACTGCTCCTTGAGGGACGCCGGCGTAATGGTCTTTTGGAAGAAGTGGCTTGAATGTGACTGACAAAGAATTATCTGTTGGAGAGGTAATTTTTTAGTAGGGGGAGAAGAAATATTAGGAATGAGTGGTGTGATCTTATAGATGAGGGTGTTGTGATTTATGGAGTCGAAAGCTTGGGTGAAGTCAAGGAAAATTGATGGAACTGGATGTAATGGCGCTGTATTTCTTTGTTGGTGTCTGGTGGCTATGTCGCATGAAATACGTTAGTGTCTGTAGTCCTGTCGATCTGTTGCCGCGAAAGCCGGAATTGTGTTTGTCTGATGCGTTTGTCAAATTAGTGGAGTCAGTCCCTTTGGTATGATGCGTTCAAATGTTTTACCTAGGATTGGTAGAATGCCTTATGGGTCGGTAGTTGTCAGGGTTTTTGCGTAATTTGTTGGGTTTGGTAGCATAATAATTTTGGCTGTCTCAGATGTCCGGGAAGTAACTTGTCTGTATGCAAGCGTTTAGAGTTAGTTTAAAAAGTCCGTGCGTTTTAGTCAGTCGTTTCAACCGCTATGGCTTTACTCCGTCGGGACCGTCGCTTTGCTTTCGTCTAGTGAGTGTAGTTTGTCTTTTATTTCTTCGTTGTAATTGTCCAAGGTTGTTGTTGGTGAGGTGGGAGATGTGGTGTTTTTGAGGAATAAAGAATTGTCGAGGAAGAAAGTGGGGTGTTTAGGGACGTCAAGCGTGATTTTTAATTTGTCAGCGAAAAGGTCGGCCATCGTTGTGCTGTATGTCAATTTCCGTCGGGTAAGGTGAGAGGGTGATGATATTTGTCTCAGTCTTGAGTTCTTTGATTAATGTTCAAATTCTTCTGGGGTTGTCGTGTCATTTTCGTCGATGTCGTTTGTCCATTTTGTTGGATGTAAGTAATGAGAGTTCGTGAAGTACTTTTCGTAGTTTTCGTAGGTTCGTCGGTCTTCCTTGTCTTCTGTCTGTAAAAAGTTCGTTGTGCCTTGCGTTTCTGTCGAGAAGTTCTAGAATATTGTCTGGTAATTTAGTTTTTTGTCTACGAGTGAGTGGATGATTTTGATAATGAGCGGTTGATATGAAGGTTGAAAATGTTGAGATGGCCTGGTCAATTTCTTTGGGAGTTGCAAGGGAGTTGGGAATTTGATCTTTTAGATATCAGGTGTTGAATTCTTTTCCAGTCGTGGCTGCTCTGATTGGTTTTGCGTGGGATGTTTAAGTGCAGGATAAGGATAGTCAAGAGGTGAAGATGATAGGGAGTGGTCAGAGGTAAGTTACAGTGATTGGGAGATGAGGGTGCTGGTTTACATGTTAGATGAGTGAATGATGAAGTCAAGATATCCGTGTGGTAGCCTTCGTACGAGGTGGGTTGGTCGGTCGTGCGTCAAAGTCGTCGGTTCTGTTGTTCAAGTAAAGTTTCCAGTTTATGTCCGTTTAATGTTAGTGTGTCTGCATCCCCAGGTGGTGATTTAGTATTTAAGTCACTGCTATGTGCAGGAGTCGGAGCTGAGTATGTCAAGTCTTGGTCTAAGAGTGGCGTTGGTTGGTGGTTGTAGATAGAGGAGATGGTGACGGGGCCGTGGGCGTAGACTATTTTCAATTCTGGTGGTTTTCTATGTGGGTAGGTCGTAAGGGGAGTAGTTGGTTGGTGGTTATGTCTTTGTTTGATGCATATGGCGGTGCCGCCTCCGGCCGTATGGTCCTGTCTCGTTCTGTAAGTTGCGTAATTAGGGATGTTGAGAATTTTTTTGGTGGGTGTTAAGGTGAGCTCTCGTTGAATAATAGTATCCCGCGACGAGTATCCTTTAAGCTATTGATCGAATGTCCGGTAGTTTCCCAGGCTAGTCTCGTTTCGCGTTCCATGAAGTGAATATTGTCAGTCCTATGTCTCGTAGATGTTAAGCTAGGTCGCACAGTTTGTTGTCAGAATTTTGATAATTTTTGTCGTTGTGTCCGTCAGGTCTATTTATGATGGTAATAATTCTTTTGCGGTGTTATGGTTTGGATAAGTGAAAGTCCTTTAGAAGGAGAGAAGCTTTCTGTAATGTCGCTGATGGTGATTGGAATCTGATGAGAGGTGAGGTTGTGGTGAGAAAATTTGGGTGAGTGCTGGCGTAGGTGAGTTAGTTTTGCTGGGGTTCTTTGTCCTGGGTGGTTTGGGATGAGGGGGGAATTGAGCTTTTGTCGAGTGTGGTCTGGCTCGTTTCTTGCACTCGTGAGGTCTCTCGCTTACATTCGAATTCATCTGACATTTGTATGTACTCCGACATTTAGGATTTTGCCTTTTAGAAGAGAGCTGCAGTTGGGTGCATTAGCAGTGGTATGTCGAGGTATGCAGTTGGCGCACTTGAAAAAGTCATTGGATTGCAGTCAGTGCTGGTGGTGGCGGTCGCCGCATTTCGCGCAGATGGTACCCGGTGGCAGTAGTGCTTGGTGTGAATAAGCATTTAGCAAACTTGTCACACACTGGGAAATCTGATCTGTTTGTCTAATGTCTGTTCCACACGAGATCACTACACTAGGCGAATTGCATGTAATGCGGTGTAACCTTAGATCTTGAGTCTCTTAGTCTCTTACGTCTCTGTGCACTATATATATCTCTCACAATCGTACGAGCTCCTGTAGTCACTTTTCCCATCAGCAGTCGTCACTGTCTAGAGATTCGTCTATAATTCACTCACTGCATGAGATGGTGCGCTGAATTATTCGTACCGGACCTCAAGAGCCCTCAGACTAATGTCAAAGACTGTCTGACTGTAGTAGCCTGTCCGATAAAGAGTAGAGTCTGTTACAAGAAACTCAGACTATATCACACCTTAGCATACCACCCATCATTTTTGATCGCTGTCACTCTACTATAGCTCGTACTCTATGTGAAGAGACACGAAACGACAGACTTGTTTATCAAGGACTTATCCCCAAGAGTGCGACTAGAAACCTGAGGTTTCTGCCAGGACATCCGTGTCGTTTAGTGACACCCGTACTTAGTCCTGAGACAAGTTCTTCGAAGGCGGTCAAAGTCTATTTGTTCAAGGGCGCTCAAGTTAAATTTTGTGGCATGTTGAGTCTTGGGTGGTGGAGAATTAGTCTCTACTGTACTTTTAGCGTGAAAGCTGTTGGGGGTCACTGCCGGTTAAGGTCTGTCAGAAGTACGTTGCGTTGGTCAGTTCCAGTATTGTCAATGTGTATCGGTGCCCAATTTTTGACGTAATTTCGTGCAGTTTGCTGAAGTCGCAGGTGGGTTGGTTTTGTATGCTCTCATTTGGTTTTTCAGTTGCACGTTTAGTCTGTCCGTCACGGTTCATCAGGGTGCTAAGCAGGAGATCTATTTCTGTGGTCGGAGAGGCAGGAGTTACTGGCCGGGGGATTATGCAAACATTACTTCCCGGTGGCTTGGTTGGAAGATGGTCTGGAGGATTTTGGGGTGTTTGGGATAGATTAAGAAGGATGTTTTGACAAGTTCGCGACGCCGGGGATCGTCGACGGAAGGCTCCTTGCACGTCAAGAGATTCTCACCCGCAGTCCCGGTGAACTTAGTAGTAATCAAGCGATGCTCGTTTTGGTGGTGCAAGAGCCCACCGCCTGCTGTTCCTCTCTTCTGTTTTGTGTTTAGATACTGCTCCACGCGCCTTTGCGACGAGTTCGTGTTCCAGAGAAGTCAGATTGTTCGTCGTCCCGGGTGGTAGTGGACGTAGTAATGTACTCCATCGATTCCCATCACTGGAGAGAGCAGCGGCCCCCTCGGCCGCTTGCGCGTGGAACTAGAGCGTAGGCCTTGGATGTGGTTGGCTCACCGCAACAAAAATTTGCCTCCGCTACGCTACAATTATTTGCTCTATTCTCTGTCAGAGTCCTGAGCAGAGATGTATTCAACTTAGATTGTTGCGGCTGCGGAAGGTCGCGACAATCCAGCGCTAACACGGCTTGGAGAGTTGACTTGGAAACGGAGCTCGCTCTCATACAAGATACGGTACTCTCGTCTCGCCCGTCGTCTGCCGTACCGCGGCGCTGCCATTGTATTGCGAACCAAAGGTCGTAACGTAGCGCGGGAAATTCGAATACAATACGAAACTGCATATCTTTCAACTAGTGTTACATCATCATATGCACTTTGTCCCATTATTTCTAACTTTTGCTATTTGCGACAACTCACAGAGTGCAACGAAAATGAGGTGTATTCTTTCATGCGTCCCTTGTTCTTTACGTGGAAAAAACGCAAAGAAAAAGTTGGAGCGCTTTTGCGATTTTAAAAAAAATTACATAACCCCCCGCATAAATTACTCGAAAACGTTTTTTTTTTACATGACCTTTCTTGATGATTGTTTTATTAGAACATATTCTATTTAAAACAAATATCTTTAACTTCAATATTGCAGTTTTAAAATGCTAACTTTTTGCTTTTTTTCGAAAATACAGAGAGTTTGACGGAAATGAAATTAGAACAATTTTTTACCGTACTTTGAAACATTCAAGGAGAAACTTTAAAGAAAAAACGGAGCAATTTTTGAGAAAATAATGATTTAAAAAATTTAAAAATTGCGTGAGTTTCTCACTAAATTACACGAAAACTCATATTTTCGAAAAATTGTACACGGCATTATTTCAAGATCTTTTTTTAAACCACAGAATAAATTAAGAACAAATCTTTAACTTGAATATTGTAGTTGTAGAAAGAAGGTGAAACAAATTTGAACATTTCCAATTTTCGAAAAATCAGGGATATCAATGAAAATAAGATCAGCGCAATTCTTTTAAACTATACGGAGACAAAGAGTAAACTAAAATTTTGGAGCCATTTTTGAGAACATTTTGAAAACAGTGAGGCTTCAAGTAAATAAAAATATGTTTCAAATTCAAGGAACATCACGCAGATAAATCAGGGAAAATCAATTTGGGTGAATATCCTTCTTACGGTTTAGCCACTTGCGTAGTTTCTTAAGCGGACTGCGATTTTACTGTAAACCAATTTCTTGTTATCAAGGATCCACAAAACGTTTGATGAAGTCATTCACCTCATATACAAACAAGAATTATCCACTTTTTCGCTACCACGGCGAGGCCATATGAGTTTTTCTGACGAAAAATCGCCGTATTCCCTTGGCTTTACCTTCAAATTTAGTTTTGTTCTAGGTCAGCGCTTTGCATTGCTGGAAGTGAAGCTTGCTCTGATCTACATGGTTGCGAATTTTGAGCTTAGTCGTGAAGATGGCAATGATGGAACCATAAAATATGCGAAAGGTATGCGCCTTTTGCCTGTAAGTGGCCACAAAACATTCTTTAAACCAAGGGCAAAATAAAATGTGATTTAAACAAAAATGTTAACTGAGAATATTTTATACATGTATATACAAACAAATATTATCTTTCACTGTAGCTATTTTATAAGTCTATCATTTACTCACAAAATGTTTTGAAATATCTTTGAATCAACTACTTTTTAGTTATTAATATATCTTTATATTTGCTGAGTATTGTTCTATATGTTATTTTCATAAATAAATAGATCATTGATCAAAATATATTTCTGTTTTCTTAATTTTATCATAATGCTTGTGTGGTTTTGATACCCTTTCTAAAAGCAATAAGGAACTGAAGGAATAAGTAGAAAAAGGTTCAACATTATTTTTATATTATTCATTTATTCTACTGAAAAAATTTTGTGATATCATTTCTCAACATTTGAATGACTTTCATTACTCAATACTGCACTGTACATAACTACAGTGCCACAAACACTGCAGGTAATTTGTGTGCCCTTGAACACACTACTGCAGGTATGCATTGCTGTCAATGGGGAACACAAAGGACATGTGAGTAAATTATTATTATACGTTTCTATAATTTTGTACGTCTTAATTTATTTTTGTACATTTACATTTATAAAAAGTTATTTTAAGTCTGTATACAAGTTTGTTTTAATCTTTGGCCTACTGGCATACTATGTAAGAAATTAACAGTACATAAATTTTATATATTTATGAATTCAAAAATATTATTCGAGATATTGGAGAAAACATCTAAAACAATTTATTCCTTTCCTTTTACTAGAAATGTTTTGAAATACTGTCTTGTTCCTATAGGCATTAGACATCGACATTTTTCTTCCTTGGCTTACTACGTAAGTAGTAAAAAAAAACCTATTGTACTCGTGCGGCGGAAAGCGGCAATTTTTCGCCACAAAAAACTCTCATTGTCTTACTCTTAATAAATAACATCGCCAAGTTCAAAATTCAAAATAGAGATTTTTGTCTGAAATTAAAACTCTTCTAAAAATTAGATCTTAAAACCTGGTCGTGATCAGTTTTCTGAAAAAATGAGTAGTTTTCGCGCAATTTCTGCTTGCATTTAATGAAGTTTGTAAAACAACATTATTTCAAAAACGGCTTCAAATTTATTTCAATAATTTGTTTCCATGGATAGAGCAAAAGACACTTAAAAATGAGGAAGGTTTCATTTTCGTTGAACTTTGAGTTTTTAGAATAGCGTAAGTTTGAAATAATGTAAGAGACCATTCGTTTTTTAAGCGTCAGCAAAAGTGGGTACGGCCAAGCGACTGCGAAGCCCTTGGTGATTTAACTCTGTCAGCGGGAGAAAAAAAAGATGATTGAAAACACATTTGCAGCTTCATACAGAAGTTTAATATTGTTTATCCGTTACGAATTATGAGTATATGTGCTGTTATAGTTTCACCTGCTACCTTCTTACATACTACTAAGTATACGAAAATATTGTATTTATCTGAATTAAAAAAACAAACACATAAAAAGGCGGTCTTTTGACAGAAAAACTCGTGTGAGGCCCTGACACCGAAAAAGTGAATATTTCGTGTTCCAATATGTAGTAAATTACTTTATCTAACCACTTGTATTGTCAGATCCATGCTTTCTCAATTATTGGTTCCGAAAAGCTGACAAAGGGCAAAATTTCAGTCTGCCTGTCCGTGCCCGAGTCTGTCTGTGAACAACGGTAGTGGATATATCGTACGCTGGATTATTACCAAAATTGATTTTCCCCAATCAATCTAGCTTATACTGCGACCGTATTTATGCCAAACGGGGGATGAAATGGATACTTTTTGGAGAGAAGTTTGTTTTCTTGTATTGGTAAAATATAATAAATAAATATGGTAAAATATATAACACACTAAAAAAAGCATTTATGTGCGTAAAGAGCATTTACGTGAGTTTATTTTCCTTTTATGAAATGTTTATTAATTATTTTAGTTAGAAAGTGAAGGCAGAGCACGGCAAGACAATGCAAGGCAAGGCAGAGTGAGCCAGGGTAGGGCAGGGATACACTACAAATGTAGTACATGTTGCTCGGAGGTGGCGGTGACCTTTGCCCCGCAGGATGGCGAGATCCGGTGCAGACCTACCGGTGGCTAGCGGGCTTTCCCCTCAACCAGGTAACTCCCACAAGCGGGGCCCAACCAAAGACGGAACAAGCTCTAATTTCCCAACCGTTCTCCCGGCTTATGTTGTAGTGTTGTGGGTGTTGTGGGTGTTTGCGTAAGTGTGTATAAAGGGTGAGGATAGGACGAGGAAGAGGACGGAAAGATCGCGCGCGATCTGTTGCCCTTTTATTAAGGTTCTGCTCCGGCATTCGCCTAGTGTTGATTGGCGAAACCACAGAAAACTACCCATCAGAGAGCCAGCCTCTAGAATTCTTCCTCTAGACAGCTCGACCTATCTTACAAGCTAGTGTCGAAAATCTGTCCACTGTCAGGACTCGAAACCTAGGACCTTCTGGTCGAAGACACTGCAGTGGCATCAATTGATGCCCTGAGCCACCTCTCCCGGTAATATCCGGCGGAGATCGGATACGAATCTCGTATGAGGCCTAGGAAATCGTCGAGGGGCCAGGCGCTCATTTCATGAGAATAATGTATATTAACCCCCAAACCCTCGCGTAGGCAGCAGGTGCATCCCAGCAATTTTATTTTGGTTTGCGCGCAAGTTCAACTAAGTTTAGGATGGTGTGAGTATCAATAGCGTCAGGTAACAAGAATCTCTAACAATCGAGCCTGCTTTACGAGCTTTTGCGATTATGATGAAAGCATGTTTTTCTTAAACAGGTTAAAAGTCGGTAGGGCTGCAGTTGTGACCCGCGCGAGCCCTACGGTCATGGGTGATAAAATGTTTGCCACTCAGAAAATACGAAAGAGGATATATTCTTGTCAGAGTGTTATACTATTATCATGTACTATTGTCACGAATGCTTAATGAATCATGAAGAATTGTCAATGGATAAACATAGTATTACGTATGTTAACAGAGGTCGCTTATCTCATTTTTCACCAGAGACAAGACGTGTGGATTTAAACGCAATATGTTCAAATTTAATGGCTTTTACATCGTATTCAAATAAACATTTTTAGATAACAAAACACTTGTTCATAAAACATTTATGAAACTCATGAAACTCAACTAAAAGATATAATTTAAGTACAATATAACGTATGTAGCTCGCGCAATCACTTGGGTTACGAAATGGGCCACGAGAACTGCAGAGGTTCAAAACAGTGGTTTAGGATGACATTTTCTAACCTAATATCACTACCCAAAAGGTCGACGCCTCTTTGGTAATCGTAATAAAGTGGTCATCTTAAAATTACACTGAAATATTTCAAAATATAATGCCAAATAGATTGCTATGTTATATGTTTCAACTTCAACGTTATATGCGGCGTCCGGAGGAAGTATTTTTTCACGATTACGTACAAAGGCAGAAATAACCGTGTAAAAGGCTGGAGTCACTCTCATCCAGTTTCGGCATCGAAACATACTGCGTACAAAAGAACATCCTTTTTCCATCCACTTTCTGTACAGAAAAATGATGAAAAAAAGATGAAAAAATGAGGGTGTAAAATAGGCTTAAAGTCCACCGCTCGCGAAGGCACGCGTCACCTCTCTCCGGCCGATCCCGCAGTCTCCTCCCAGGCGACTCTCTTCCGCAGTCTGGCCTCCGATGCTGGTCGCTAGGCGCGTTTGCAAAGCGCTTTCGTAGCCGACTCGTCCCTCCAATCACCAGAGATTTATGGCCCCGAAAAGATGTTGGTGTGTAGAATTTTTCGAATGTACGGGAGAGATAGAAATGAAGGATTGTTTCAAGAAACAAACTATCAGTCCTAATAACACCATCCCTCAGAACACCCCGCACGCAACAGCAAGAGTTCAAGACAATGAACACTCCACACACGCGCGCAATCCCCAGTGATGCTGAGGTAAGCGACATAACAAACTACATTGAAAAAGTACTGGCAGAGTTAGGTGCCGAACGGTCTCCGAATCTCGAGTGCATAGACTCCCCAACCCTTCAGGAGCTATGTGAGATCGCTCCGTGGTCATGGATAGACCCGCCTCCGCAACTGTTAGACATACAAGCAATGCAGCGTGCAATTGGGCAATCTCCTGAAGTTGCAGATGTAAGCAACCCATCGCATGGCCCTGTGCAGCATACCCCTGCAGACCCCACCCCCCTTCCACAGGTGGCAGGTGGCAGTGCGACCGTGGCTGAGGCGGTGGCGGAGTCGGAAAGACTGCTGCTTGAAGGAAGCGCGGCGCCGTGGCGCCGTGGGAAGGCGCCCTAAGGCTCGCCACTTCTCTGGAAAACTCAGTTAATATTACTATCCCCTACGTCCCGAAAGTGAGCGCGGGGCAAATAGCGCGCGAGGTCAACGCATCACAGTCACTTGGGGATCAATTCATGTAGAGAGATTTCGACCTTTCCATTTCCAGAGGGTGCAGCATTTGCGCAGTAGAGACTTACAACGTCGCTCTCAATTCTCGGGGCATTTTCTGCGCAAATACAAGGAAAATCAGGAATTTCTGAAACCGTTCATTGCACAGATGAAGTAGGCATATGTTGATGTTTTAAACACTTTCTTGCTTCCCACCGTTGAAGAGCAATTCGAGGATGGCGATTGTATCATTCAACACGATCGAGCACCTGTTCATACTGCCCGGCCTGTGGCGGAGTGGTTACACGACAATAATATCCCTGTAATAGGATTTTTTTAAAATCAAAACTTTATGCTTTTAGATTTTTCATTTATGAATTCTTATTATCTTTATTTTTCTAAAAGCCTTTCCACAATTATCATTCCAAATTACTTTACCTAGAATGCGTTTAGCAAGAATTATTATAGGTACTAATGTTTCTTGTATTGTAGACGCCCAGTTTTGATAAATTGAAATCAATCATTGTAAAGACCTCAACTAACACTTTGTCGTATCGAAAAATCTAAAATGGCCATTAGTCTCTAATGGTGTTCATTTTCCTTTTTCTACAAAATGTCCTAGAATGTCCATTGAACTCTTGGTTGAACAAATTTACGTTCTTAGGTTGTACGTCTTCTCTTTAACTCTTTGCAAAATTATCACAATTTGTTCTAATGTTCCTTCCAAGAATTTTAAATTGTATTTTGTTTACCCCTTGAACTACTTGGCAATTAATTTATTATCCATCTACAAACTTTCTTCGATATTCTATTTATTAATTTACTACGAAATTTGACCTACCAAGGTCGATCCGTCATGATAATTTTTTTTGTTGTGGATTAGACAAGACCGTTTCTACTGTATTGTATAGAGTCCAACAGATGTCACCGGTTTTGGTGAGTGTTCGTACCTCTTGGGGCATGTGTTTGGAACTTCGAAGGCGGAACAGATTTATCAGTTGAGGTAACTACACACCCTATTGCGTCTTTTCAAGAATTCAGTCTTTGCTAGAATAGGAGAAGTTCAGACGATATGATCAATGGTTTCTACTTGTTCCTGGAAGATGCGGCATTTATTTTCTTGGTAAATTTTGAAAACCGCTTTATCATAATGTCGTGTTTTCAACGCCTGATCCTGAGCGGCTATTAGAACTGCTTCCGATTGTGGGTTCATTCTTTCCCTTTTAAGCCACATAAATGATTGATCTTTATTGATC